ACCATTCAGTAGTATTTGCGTGAAAGAGTAACAAACATCCATCCATACATAACAAGAGTTTATAATATTAGTAAGGATTCACATATCTTTATTCAATATAGAAGCATTACAATTACTTATTGATTGTCAAAACGCTACCACCGCGGTGCGCCGGTTCGGAAAAGAAAAGCTACCGACCTGAGAAGAACCGGCGAAAGAAACTCGGCGGGACTTGATTTTTTTTTACCATTATTTGTCCAAAAAAACATGTTCACTATGTATTGAAGTCCACTAGAAAGCGATCACTTAATTTCCAGGGTGTGTTATCATATAATGTTTTACTTTTTAACCACAGCAGACATCCTCTATTCCCAGCTTGCGTCACTCGAATATCTTCGTACTTTTGTTTCATCCGGTGAGTGAGGTAGCCGAAGCTCCACTCTCAGTATTTAGCAGTACGCCACGTGTTGTTATGACCATCCGGTTCTCATAAGGCGCGGTAGATCACCGGACGTTAGTGGTGGTTAATCACTTGTGTCGGACCGAACTACTAACTCAGGGAAATTATTAGATGACTCCGTGGCGCCGTTGCCAAGGTATTGGCTTCGGCGTCGGGGGTCGTGGGTTCGATTCCCACACGGGACAACTATTTGTGCGACCCACAGATAGTTGTTTCGCATCTGGGTGTTTGTCCTCGTGCAATTTATGTTTGTAAAACGTCCTTACAACACCGGATAATGTTATCCTAAAGTGAGGGCAATGTTTTTAAAAAAATGGAAATGGAATTGGATCGTACGCCATTCTCATTCGCTCGTTCTCTCTTTCTTACAATATACACGGCGCTAGTAGTCGAAGAGTACTAAGAGGCTATCGTAGATGGAACCACTTGTATGAAATAACATTATTTCGGAACTTCTCTCACAATCAGCCGCCGCTCGCTCGGTTTTCATCACTTCAAGCCTTTACTCGTGATATAAATGACGTTCATATTTCGGTCCGTAGACTATGGAAGACTTCATCGGGCATATATCCCATGGAAAAGACCTTCTACCAGCTCATACATGGAGTTAAGAATGCTTTCAACGTGAGAGATGTATTAGGCTCGTGGAAATTAATATCTCAAGTTGCCTCTTTTTACACTTGATGCTTCGCCTATTGGATATACTATTCCAATAGGCGAAGCATCTATTATGGTTAAAGGATTTTACATTTATTTCGATAAATATATTGTTTTTTTTTTCCGGCGTCAGTAATAGTTTTATTGATAATTTTTTATAAAGACTTCTTTCTAGCGTCATTTATAGTATTAGTTATTTATACAGACGGTTTCAAAACAAATGTAAAGTTTCCCCGTAGATACACCTATTGCAGTAGAATAGACTGTGACCTCTACCCTCCCGGAGCTGATCGATTAAGCCTAAGTCGGTATAAAACTTAGCGTTCCGTTTTCAGGTATTACGTAATTCAATCGATAACACGCAAGTTTACATTTAATTTTTGATAAAAGTTAAAATGAACCATTTGCTTAATCCCAGCCGTAAACAAATCAATACAATAAATTTATTTATCGAAATAAGAAACATTTCGTCTATAGATAGCCATTTTTTAAATCTACCACCGTTTCGTAATGAGGCAAGGAACAGGCGAAAGAAATTCCGTACGTATCCTCTATCCTAATTCTATCTCCCATTGTTATTTAAGTAATCATCATTCTCCTACCCTTATCTCACCAAGTTGATGTCCTCACAACAAAAGCCACATACAACATGTGAATCATGTTGTAAGTGGCTTTTGCTAGGCTTTTCACGATCGGCCGTCAACCCTTCTTGGTGCCTGCCTGACGTCAACCCTTAGGAACACACACACACAGATCCGGAACAATTATTTATCTGTACACAAGTACTTGCCCCGTGTGGGAATGGAACTCTCGACTTAGCTACACCGCGATGTTGTTATTTAAGTAATACGCGAGGTAATTTTAGCAGAATTAAATTTAAACGAAAGCACTGATATGGCAAAACTTTTCATCTATAAGTACCCGGAGGACCTTTGGAGGAGCTTTGCTCGGTTTGTTTTTTTTTTTCGTAAATCGTGTATTTTGGAAATTACATTTAGATACAAATTACTGAGTAATGAAATATGCATAATATTTTTCGATCTTACCGACGTAATAATAAGAAAATATGAACTAATGTTTTTCACAAAAGAAAGAACTTTAAAAAAAAGGGAAATAAAAAACAAAATAACAAATCGACAAAAAATTAAAAATAAAGAAAGCAATGATCTGGAATCGAAAAAAATAAAAAAAAAAAAGTAAAAAAATAAATGTGTAAATGATCGTGACGCGAACCACGGCCGTCTGTTTTGGGGCCGCCCGATTACCAACCGAGCTATTATGACATTTTCTCTTGCGGCGAAATTTACCGTCATATTCGAATTATATTTTTCATTTCCTGAAAACAGGGATAAAATGACCTTTTCTAAAAATGAAACCTAGCTAGATCGATTTTTCGTCCCCGAATCTACGCACATACTAAATTACATGAAAATCGCTGGAGCCGTTTCCGAGATTCCGATTATATATATTTATATATATACAAAAAAACATTATGTGAGAAAGTGAGTGATAGCCACCACCCTCGTTGCAGATGCGTCGCCACCTTTTAATTAAGTGGGCCCCGGTTACCTCACTCACCAGACGAAACGCAGAAGCATCACTTCCACTTCACGCCGGCTTCTTGTGAGGTCGTGGTACTTCCCCGGACGGACCTGACCATTTGTGCAACAACGAAGACTGCTGCGTGGCCCTGCCACAGAATAACCCATCGCATGATCACTCGCAGAGGGAGATGTGAATGTGTTGCCGGCATTTTAGAAAAGAACAGACGTACTATGGGTTCGGTAGGTGGTGGATTCCTGAGATACCATAATCCGTATTGTTCTGTGAGTGTCTGAGCCGCGACAAAATTAATCTACAAAATGGCGACTGTTGAAGTATGTAAATAATCTACGGCGAATTTCCAACCATCAAGATGGTACACGGACTATGGTTTTCTAACGTGAATATTTTATTGATCATATAAATGAGGCAGCGCTGGTCTCTTGACTGGTTTATCGAAGTTGTGGGTTTTTTAGTAAATTTTTCGGAACCTCTACGCCGAAGTACAATCAAGAATCACAGCACACTGCAACGTTTATTACGAAAGAAGCTAGGTGAAGCAGATGGCATTCGATGTCTCTCTCTAGCAGACAATGCTTATGTTTGTTAAAAAATATGAGCGGCGTGTCATCGCTAAGTTAAAAACCGATTAATAAGAGAGGCAATCGGTAACATATCATGGATTACCACAACTCTATACGATATTATTGCTGCGGTTAGACGCGGGTGACCTTTGACCGATTTATACGAGCTACGTGAAATTAATTTAATTTTTTTTTCTTAATTCTAAAAAAAAAGATATTGCCCTCACTTTAGGATAACAGTATCCTGTGTCGCAAGGAAGTTTTTACATACATAAATTTCAAGTGGACAAACACCCAGACGCGAAACAACTATCTCTGGGTCACAGAAATAGTTGTCTCGTGTGGGAATCGAACCCACGACCCACGACGCCGAAGCCAATAGCTTGGCAAAGTGCGCCACGGTGTCATCAAGGTTAATTCTAAGGAATTTTAAGGTTAATTCTGTTTAAAGCAAATTGTTCATCTCTTTCACCATACGCACTACCCATCAGGCAGGGTGAAAGTCACACTGTGGGATAAGAAAACGCTCCTGGGCATTTTTTCCCCACACAAAGCTTTGTAGTCAAAACGGTTTTTAGTTAAAATCGTTAACGATAAACCCTATTTACATTTATATTTCTCTGTGGCATTTCGACCATTGTTCGTCCATTATGGTGAGCTAGTACTGAAAACGATGGAAGCACGGAACTGTGACGCAGCGGTAGCTTAACCCTAGGAGACTGATGGCGTCTAATGCACCCCAGTCTATCATCAAGAAGATCATTCCGATCAATTCAGAGAGTTTAACCATCCTTTTGGCAACTTAAATAACATTTGAAAAGCCATTTGACAGCTGATTAGTTAACTTCTTGCTGATCAGTGTGCAGCTGGCGTATTTGTGCCGCAGGAGTGATTATGTAACCTATTGTCGTTATTCCCCAGTAAAACAAATTAGACCTCACTAAATACGACTGACGGGTACTAATTACGGCGCCTTCCTTAGCGACAAGTACATGTGGAGTACGTCTGGCCCGTTCTGTACCGTCTGTGCCTCTCAATTTGGCACCGTAAACTCTACTTCGGCCTTTCTTCATTCATATTTTCCATTGCGACAAGTTAAATCAATGTCTAAATAGGTAATATCGTATACAACTTTTTATTAACAATTGTCACAAACACTTTATTCGTATCGATTGAGTATCAACGTAGAAATTTAGACAGTAAAAACAAAGTACATACGTTAAATACATTTTAAGTAGGTACGTACCGGTGAATTATTGGAATATTTCTCACACGTTGAAACTGACTTGAAAGTAACTGAATTTAAATTAACACCGGCAGTTTCTTTTCGATGTTTACGAAAGCATTTTCCTAACAATAAAATTTATATTTATTATTATAAAAAACGAGATTATGCTCATACTCCATATTAAAGTTTAGCTATTAATTGTATTTCATTAACAATTCAGAGAGAACTTTATTTCAAGAAAGTGTAATTATTTTATTAATAAAATCAATATTTAATACATAAAAAAAAAAAAATTTAAATTGCGAAACTTATTTCAGTTAATATAAAACGATACCTTTTTTTATATTTTAAGATAAATATATCAATAAAAAGTTTATTTAATAATGAATATTATTTTAATATAGTTACGTAAGGTTAATAAGGTCACCAAGGTGCACCTTTAAAACTTTACCTAAAGCATTATAATCATGAATAAATTTCAAATATAAATAATTAATATGAATATTTTTTGTTGCCAGTTGGTTACCTAATATAGTGACTGCGGACTTACCAGAACTGTGTGGTGAGTACGGTTACCCCTGTGTACCCATTGGACGTTAGATGTGTTCTGCTTAAGGAATGCTCCGCAAGGTATTGTCACGTTTGTTCCTTTATCTGCTGCTACTTCACGGATATCCACTTGTTCAGCGACGACTCGCACAAAAACTAAGAATGAAATGTCGCCGTTATTAAGGTTACACACAAAACAAAAAATCTCTTCATATTTTAAAATATTTACCTTCTAATCCAAGGTAGAGCAGAAGAACCGATGCACGTTCAAGAAACATCGTGAAATCTCTACATCTAAACTTTACAAATAACACTATTTTGGCAATTTGTAAAGTAAAAAAGATTTTATATGTTAAATTGTTAATTACATTACACCGAATTAATTAACGACGGCAGGCGAAACAATAGGAAACAGATCTCACAACAAACGTCGTACCTTCTTTGATGTAAGTCATAGACTAACTATATAAATGTCATATCTCGTCGGCTTAACTCAAAGTTTAAGTTGATCTAAGTACCTCCATAGTGATGTCTATTATTCATCGATTTTTTTAATCGATATTTCATAATGCTAATAAAAATATAGTCTTAGTTTAATTTAAAAAAAAATCATTAAGTCTCTAACAATAATAAAAATTACTTTAGTTTCCAGTTAAACAATCGTAAAACAAATAAGCTGAATGGATGAAGGACATCAAGAGTATAGGCTAGGCCAAAACTTTTAAAACTTTTTCTAAATTTCACTAGAGTTACTGATAATTATAAAACTGTTTTTACCACTATTAGAACAATTTTAATCAATAATACTTTTCGATTTTCGATGTTGCTACTTTATTGCATCAGCTGTCAAATAATGTCTATGGAGAAAGAACAAGTATAGATCATAGAATATATTACGTATAGACAAGATTATAGATTTTCTTCGGACATGGCCGCTGTATCGGCAATACAACACCTGCAATGTTTTGTATATTCAAATTCATTTTTTATAATGAATAGAGAGTTTTTTACTTATAAGTAGTGATTAGTGGCTTGTATATAGTGCTGTGATATTTGTAATGGATGCGGAGAGCGAGTACGAAATAAAGAGAGCTCGTGATGCAATTCAGATGATTGAGACCATACAGTCTATGATCGACGTTTCGGCGGATAGACTTGAGGGTTTACGGACACAATGTTCTACGAGCGCAGAGCTGACGCAGCAAGAGATCCGGACCCTGGAGGTATGAGTGCCCTTCGTAGTGTAATCATAATATACTGTAGAAACAAGATGTGCCCTTGAACAATTCCCAAGGCCCCTGCCGCAAGGACTCTCTTGCACTCAAGGACCACGTCGGACGGTTCATTGGCTGAGTAGAAAGTGTATCCGCCGCGCACCCTTGATTGCCTTGAGCGTATTCGGTCGATTTCACATATTAAAGCGGGCTCTCTTTTTACGATTGGCGGCTTTTTGTAACTAACGGAACTTAAATTCTATGTATTATTTAATTAGAAAATGAGCATTATCCATGTTATTTTTTCAATAGTTAGTCAAAGAATAATTTATTGTAACCATTTTATTTAGACTTTTAGTAAACACAATTCAAAAATGATAAGAAGAAAAGAAATTTGTTCGCGATACCGTATGAGGAAAACCTATTACATCAATTATAACTTTAGTTGAATTTATTGAGTTGAGTTGAAGAAAAAAATATTGAAATTGCCAGCTAATAGGTGACAGAGTTAAAGCCACTTAAATAATTACTATAAGAAAGAGTCATTTTATAAATGTTAACAATTTATTTTATTTTATTTTCTTTACTATATAAATTGAGAAAATAATTATTTTGTAAAAATATGATAAGATTTAGATATTTTTACCACATTCTTGTTTTCAAAACAATTTAATACCTTCTTGGTTACATTTATGCTATAAACATTAGGCAACTTCTAATGCTATAAACATTAGGCATTCAAAGGCAACTTATACATAACACAGTTTACAGTATATAAACAACAGTTTATAAAGTCTAACTGTACTAATAAAACAATTGAGATAGAAACAGTAATATTACATGTGCATTAATAAGCAAATTCTAGACTCTATTCTTACTTAATACTTGACTTAGTTTTAAATTGTCTTGTGTTTTTAATGATTCAGTCTATCATCTGTACAATATTATTGTTAATAGATTGTGTAACAATATTTAAGTTGTTGATGTGTATAAACATTTTTTTAAATTATACATGTACAAATTTCTATAAATTAAATCACATGAGCATACAAGAAAAAATCTGTAAGATGCCAGCTTTAGTTGCTCATCCTAGTTATTATTCAATAGTTTTATCTTCAGTATAAATATTACCTATTAATATGTTCCAGATCATTACAATGTGTGGTACATGTCAATTGTATTATTGTATCATTACGAGGTACCCTATTTCACGAGGTTCACTATTACTAGGCATGAGCATGCCCTATCAAAGTTATGATAGCTCAGTTTCCAGGCGCTCGTTTTTGATTCAATATAGTTTAGCAATGTTACAAATCCAGGACCAATAAAATTCTTATTTTTATATGTTGATTTATCATATGCTCATTGGTGAACGAAAAACATTGTGAGGAAACCAGCATATTGTGCAAATAACACCAAAAAAATTTCTTAAATATTGGCTTGGGCGTCGGGGGTTGTGGGTTCTTTCGCACATGGGACAACTCTTTGTGTGACCCACAGATAGTAGTTTCGCATCTGGGTTTTTGTCCACAAAAAATTTATGTTTGTAAAACATCCTTACAACACAGGATAATGTAATTCTAAAGTAAGGGCAAAGGTTTTAAAAAAAAAAAGGAAGAAAGAAAAGAAATCCACAGTGGGGTAGCAGGGTGGCCTATGCCATCATACCACAGAAGGTAATAGGCAAAGGACTCCTCTGTACAGAATACAGAGGAGTACTTTGCCCTGGCTAGGTACATGTGAAGTCTGTTATTTTACTTTCACTAGGTATGTACGTATGTTAATTAATCAACTAGCATAGTCTTGATCGCTTTACTGCTTTCCTAACTTATGGAAAATTGCAACATTGTCTTTCTCAATATGGTTGTCGCTATAAGAATTGAGCTCAGATGTTATGCGCCAGGCAGCACTCCATGTTTGAAAAAAAATATAAAATCTTATTTATATTAGCCTAATTCATATTAGCTTGATTGCCTGTATGTAGGCTTTTTGTAAGTAAACAATGTTGAGAGACTCATCTTCCTTGCTTAGGTATGAAGATTGTTTACTAATAATACATCTCAATGATATAATGGAACAGTCACCATGAACAAGTTAAAACCTTAAAAATAAGGGATATATCAAGTTACCAAGTGCATACCAACCAATGCTACCATATTATACTTTTTGATATAAAATTGTTACTTTTTACCGGATTAAAATTACACTGCTTTAATAATTTTTTTTAAGTGTGCTGACAGTTCACCTGATGACAAGTGATACTACCACACATGGCTGACAATGAAGTCGTGATACAGGTCTCATGTTTAACTTGCATCAGAGAACAACTAAGTATTTTTTGTAAATGCCAAATTTGTTTCATACTTCGGTCGTAACTCCTAACCCTCGCCTCAGTTTCTCTGCTGACGTCGCACATGAGAAACTGGATGTTGATCCCGGAAAGTGATCATCGAGCGAGGATTTAGACTAAGACAAAGTTCACCTTGAAAATGCGGCTCGCAATGGTTTTTAGGTCAAGTTTACTTTTTAGGGTTGTGTACCCAAAGGGGAAAAAATAGCCTACTACTAAGACTCCGCTGTCTGTCTGTCTGTCCGTCTGTCACCAGGCTGTGTCATGAATCGTGATAATTAGACATTTGAAATTTTCACAGATGATAGATTTTTGTTGCTGCTGTAACAACAAATACAAAAAAACAGTAAATAATAATCTTATCATTTAAACGAGCAATTCTTGTATATTATATATATATAATTGGAATCTCGGAAACGGCTCCAGCGATTTTCATGAAATTTTGAATGTGCGTAGATTCGGGGGTGAAAAATCGATCTAGCTAGGTTTCATTTTTAGAAAATGTCCTTTTATCCCTGTTTTCAGGGATTGAAAAATATAATTCGAATATGACGGTAAATTTCGCCGCAAAAAAAAAATCGGTTATTCTAATAGCTCGGTCGCTAATCGAGGGGCCCCAAAACAGACGGCCGCGGTTCGTATCACGATCATTTACACACTTATTTTTTACTTTTTTTCGATTCCAGATCATTTCTTTCTTTATTTTTTGTCGATTTGTTATTAAACGGTTTTATTTAGCTCGACCCGTACGGAATTTGTTTGTTTGGGTCTAAATTAGAAATTGAAATTTAAGCACCTTGCCATTGTCAGATTGATCTGAAATTTGGTACACACATTTAATTTTGATGACAATACAATATTAAAAAAAATTTAACAAAAAAAAAACAAAATAAAACCGTTTAACTTAAAAGTTTTTAAACGGTTTTATTCTGTTATTCTTTTCCCTTTTTTTAAAGTTCTTTCTTTTTTGGTAAACACCAATTCATATTTTCTTATAATTACGTCGGTAAGATCGAAAAATATTATGCATATTTCATGACTCGGTAATTTGTATCTAAATTTAATTTCCAAAATACACGTATTACCAAAAAAAAAACAAACCCTCCAGGTACTATAATATTTAAGTGGGGCGCCCATACTACAGACAAGATATTTTCCAGTTTTTGTAGATAATGGTACGGAACCCTTCGTGCGCGAGTCTTACTCGCACTTAGCCGGTTTTGTGGCTAAGCTTTCAATTCTGGGCGGATCAAACGTTGTTTGCTGCAATATCTTAAAGCAATTGTTCCAGTTCTAGGAATTTGGTGGAAATGTCCTAGATTAAGGGTACTTAATGTTTAAAGTGACGGTCAGCGATTTTTACTTGAGCGGTGGTTGGTAAAAGCTCATTTGTTGATAAGCCGACCGCTTCCCGTAAATAGATAGTTAATTTGGATGTGCAATTAGTTTTAAGCATTTACATTATTGTATAGATGACCTAAGTAAGTTTTATTGTCACATCTGCAGGTGAGCTTAATAAATTAAAAAAAATAGTACAGAGGGTTTTAGAGCAGTGGGCAGCGCGCTAATAAAGACTTCACATTCCTTCGAAATATATTTTCATTATTCTTTTCGAAAATGTGCAGGTTTACTACTCGCGATGATTTCTTTCACCATAGAGCGCGTGATAATAACACTTGACACTTGAGTACGTATACAGCGGTAGAAACCACTTAACTGTCTACCACGCAGTCTAAAATAATCGCATAGTATTAAGCAATAGCCATGTTATTTTAAAGTTACGTTATGCTTCACAATAAATGTACGCCGAGACGTCGTCTTTATTAGATGAACCACGTGATTAATTTGTAATCTTATTGGATGGCAAGTGAAAAAAGATGTTAAAATGTTTGCGAAAATAAGATTATGCAATGATTCGGATATAAAGATATGATTTGATGACCCAACGGGCGTAGTGGATAGTGTACCTGTTTCTTGCGGTAGAGGGTGTGGGTTCGATAGTGGGGCTATTGGACAAATATCGTGTGATGGACTTGGTGGGTTCCAGTTCTGTCCGGCTGGGTGGTTGCCTATAACATTATCTATTTATTTTCAAAAGAAAGGTATATTTGTCAGGTTCATATATACCTAGTTCATATAGCTTTGCTTAGTTTGGGACTAGATAACGTGTAAAGAAAGTAAAAATCTTGTCTCGTCCTGATAAAAGTAAAGTTACAGCCTATATGTCCAACTGCTGGGCATAAGTCTGAAATGTACAGACGGTATTAGACCATAGTCCACCACGCGACCTCTCTGCGATTTGGCGGACTTCACATATCTTCTGAATATTTTTTTAATTCGAAAATATGCAGGTTTCCTCACGATGTTCTCCTTAAGCGCCGAGCACGTAATAAGTCAACACTTAAAATTAACAATTTCATTGACAGCCACCGGGGATCGAACTCAGAGTATATGAAATTAAAAGTCCTGATATACGTGAGATAATAATATGTAGGTTTGATTCTTACTGGGGACGCTTCGGTGGGCTCTAGAGCATTACATATTGGCCAATTACGGCCGTAAGTCCGACGTAACTCAGAAACTTATGTTTATGCAGGAAATAGCAAGATCTCGAGTAGTTTGTCTTTATAATTCATACGCCAAAAGCCAGCGCTCGTAAGTGATGACAAAGTTTCCCAAGACGTTTGAATTTATAATAAAACTAGCCCGCCACGGCTGCGCACTGGTAGCACAGCCATACCCTACGCCTGGGTTTATGGTCGCCTGCTTGCCGAGTTTTATCTGTGCAGCGAACCTTTTTCTTTTTGACAATCATCGTAATACTTCAACCGATTAAAAAAAAAACATTAATGAATTATACGCTCAAACTGACCTTATTATCCATTCCGTTCATCGGTGGAAATCGAATGAAAATCCATTAAATAAATATATTTCAGAACCCTTTTTTAGTTTTCTAGTCCCAATACTAAGCAATGCTTGTACTATGGGTACTAGAATTTTTATTTATTTTTTATTTTTAAAAACATGCCCTTACTTTAGGGTAACATTGTCCTGTGTTGTAAGGACGTTTTACAAACAAATTCCACGTGGAACAACTATCTGTGGGTCACAAATAGTTGTCCCGTGTGGGGATCGAACCCACGACCCCGAACGCCGAGACATCGAAGCCAATACCTTGGCAACTGCGCCACGGAGGCGTAAAGATAACTGATAAACGTACTAAAACATTCTTTTCTTCTAGGTAAATATATATTATTATTCATATATTACGCTTATAACACGCAATATTTTTCCAGTAGTGGGGATCGATTCAACACCCTCTGACGCAAGAGGCTGGGTCATTGCTTACTATCCCAATCAGGTCGTCAATTGAGTAGTTTTAGGGGTTGCACATACGGGCAGGCTCGTCTGGTGAAATTTATCACAAAAGTCGAGCGTTAAATTGACGTATTATTGTTAGCATTTCGCCTGGTGAGAGAAACCCGGGTGCGTAGGCTTGGCAACGCATCAGCAACCCCACTGATGCGGATATCCAATGTCCATGGGCGGGAGTCATAAGGCATCACTTGAGATCAGATGAACTGACATAATAAAACTAAATAATATGTTAAACTTTCATTTAAAATCTCCGATTTAGGGTACGGTTACTTGACTTTTTCCCAAATACGCGAAGACATATTTGACGGCCCGATTGGCCTAGTGGGTATAATAATGAACTCCTCTTGCCCCAGAGGGTGTGGGTTCGATCCCCATTACTGGAATAATATTTTGTGATGAACATAGTGACTTTCCAGTGTCTGTGAGTATACATATAATTTATAATATAAAATTAAAGTATGTTTAAGTATGGTTATCAGTTATCTAGTACCATATAAGAAGCGTTGCTTAGTTTGGGTTTAGTGTACAAAGGTGTTCTTATATAGGAAGAGAAGAAATCTCACTTTTATAGTATCACTATAAAGTGTGGTGTAACTGTTGTAGAAGACAATGCAATGAACTCAAAATGGTTATGGTTAACCTTAACTAAAAAATTACACGGTTAGGTACGAATGCCGCATGCTGTTGACAAATTTAGTTGTTCTGCTACCATGTGAACTTACAAGTGCGTACTGTTTTATTGATAAATAAATCGTCGAATCTACTAAAATTGATGCTTCGATAATGACGATACGTCTTAAAAATATCATTTCTTTTATTTCCGTCAGTACTTTTAAGCAAGCCTAAGTGTCACCGGTTACACGCTTGAATCTTAAAAATGTAACGAAATTTTTCTCATTAATATTGCGGGGGATAAAATAATGACATTTTAGATTGTAATAATAGCTTGAATAAAATATATAGCGTATAAAAGACGTACGTAAGAACTATTTTGTCTGACAATGATAATGCGATACGAAAACTAGTATAATAATATGCGAATGTTTAATAAACAAGACTCAAGTGACAGAAAACAAAATGAAGGTGCGCAATATTGTTTGTTATTGTGGACAAAGTCCTCGAATGAATTTAAGATTGACATCTTACGTCATGACCGTTAGTGACGCAAATCGCAATATCGATTCGATGCTATCTCAAATACCTTTTCTCTATACAATGCATACACCAAAAGTTAATGCACATCACTGACTATAAAGTTACCTAAGGCCCTTGAATTTACAATAAAACTAGCTGTGCCCGCGAGTTCGTCCGCGTGGAATTTAAAATAAATAAAATTTTAAAATAAAACCTTAAGTTACTCCTTATTACATCGGCTAACTGCTCCAGTGAAAGTCCCGTCAAAATCGGTCCAGCCGTTTCAGATTAACCGTAACATTCAGACAGACAGTCAGGCAGAAAAATTGTAAGACAGATTGTAAAAAAATCTCATTTTGGTATATGTATCGTGTATACATCTATATGTATTTAGCAAAAAGCGGTTATTTTAATAAAACAAACAGACATTCCATTTTTATTTAGCAGCATTGGTAGAACCAATGTCGCTTGCTTCCCGAGTTTTATCCGTGCGCCAGAATTTTTCAGACATCATCTATATTTCAGTAGATTTACAAAAAACCTTTATGAATTATACGCTCGAACGTTCGAAGGAACGTTTAATCACTCCGTCCATTGATGAAAACTTTATGAAAATGGATTCTTTGAGTATTTGTGTTTATACGCGATAAAACGGACATGGCTGTGGTTGTATGGACTTTTTAAGTTAATCGCGTTCAAACAGACATGGATGGAGAATACCTACTGTATAAAAAGTGTAAAATAAAATATTTCTATTAATTGTGACATTACGTATGAGAAATATCTAATCAACAGAAATAATAAAAGCGCTATCAACTTTTACAATTTTTTCCTAATTATTTGTATACACGACCGTTTGTCGAGACTGTCAAATTTGGAACATCATAATTTCAGCCTGTTTGAGTCCACTGCTGAACATAGGCCTCCCCCATAGACTGCCACGAAGTACGATCCTGAGCCACCCGAATCCATCGAATTCCCACACGAATGCACAGGTCGTCACTCCATCTAGTGGGTGGTCCTTCTACACTCCGATGGCCAGTATGAGGCTGCCACTCGAGGACCTTTCTTCCCCAACGGTTATTAGCGGTTCTACGAGCTATACAGCTTACTAACCTTCTGAGCTATGTCAGTTATCTTTGTTCTACTGCGGAGGTCTTCGTTGCGAACTCTATGACGTAGAGAATTAACGAGTAGAACCCGCTCCATAGATCGCTGACTTTGAGCTTTCTTCATACGGCCAGCAGTAACTAATATAAATAAATAAATATTTTAGGATACATTTTTACACAATGTTCTCTAGTCCCAAACTAAGCAACGCTTGTACTATGGGTACTAGATAACTGATAAACATACTTAAACATACTTTTCTTTTGTAAAATAAATACATATTATATAAACACCCAGACACTAGAAAAACACTATGTTCATCACACAATCGATGGGATCGAACCCACACCCTCTGGCGCAGGAGGCAAGTACACTACCCACTACACCATTCGGGTCGTCAACTCATTGGTCGGATACAAACCCGTGCCTCTACGGCCGCGTTCCTCCTATTCTTCTACCATCACCCCATGTCTCGTTCCAGGGCAAGCTGGTGAAGCATTTCTCGCGGCAGCTGGTCTTCAAGGCGCAGTTCGGCGAGGAGTTGCAGAGGGAGCTGGCGGACGTGCCGTGCCTGGCCCAATGGCTCCGCGTGGTCGGCCTCAGTCCGGAGGCGATAGAGGTGATAAAAGACAGGCTTTTAATATTATACAGCGTGTCGTTACCATCGCGACAATAAATGAACACACGTCTAACGCTACTTGCCAATAATCATAAAAAAATATTAACTTTAAACAAAATCCATAATTAAAAAAAAATATTTTTCAAACAAACTAATTAAGTTAAAAAGAAACAAAATTTGTAACATCCTATACAACTCGCGCCACAGCGTCGCAATACAAGCCTCTCCTTCTAACAGTATGTTTTGTCTCTTTTAAATTCATTCAACCCATTCATATGCTTTGTGACCTTTACAAATGAACTTTACGTTACAGTTTTATACGTAAGGGTGTTCTAAAATTGTTTATTTTGGAAAATTTAATAACTCGGTAAATATTAATGTTCGAAGAATGTAAATATTTAATACAATTTTAAAAAGTTATTCTCTATATGTGTGTTCATTTATTGTCGCGGTGGTAACGACACGCTGTATAGGTCTAATAGCTAGGCTCAATTTCAGGGCCTCGGTTTCGGTGCGCTAGTGTCAAACCTTTGTATATGATATCATTGCTGCAGGCGGTGTGTTCACGCGTCGCCTCGCTAGAGGCCCTACGAGAGCGCTCCGACCACGAGCTGCGTGCCTTACTCGCGGCCGCACGCGACGAGGAGCTGCGACGACTCTGCCGAGCGATGCAAAGGCTTCGAACCTACACCGGTGAGTGGCTCAAGGTGATCTACGAGATAGTTACCGGTGAAAGCATTGGGGGGGGGGGGGGGGGGGGATGACACGTGATCCGTGACGCATTTGACAAGGTATTGGCTTCTCTGTCGCTCTATGCGGAGGCTTCGAACCTACACCGGTGAGTTGAGTAAGCATGGGGGGGGAGGGGTGTGACTCCGTGGTGAAGCTGCCATGGTGTTGGTTTCGGCGTCGGACGTCTTGGCATCGATTCCCACCCGAGACAAGGGTTTGTGTAACCCACAGAAAATTGTTTCGGATTTTGGTGCGTGTTCACGTGAAATTTATGTATGTACAACGTAGAAACGTCTTACAACACGGGCTGATGTTATCATACAGTGAGGGGGCAATGTTTTCGAAGGGAAGACTACAATAGGTCTTTATGGATTGCAGTGATCATTGAGACTTACTACCCAACCCCTTGAACACAATATACAAACGAGGGGCGATTTTTCTCGCTTTCGGCGGAAATGTTAATTTCTGGCAACTGTTAAATTTAATGTGTCACAATTGCAACTGTTTGTTTAAAAATAAATTTGTTGTCCGTTGAATGTAAAAAACATGAATTTATTAAATTTTTCATATTTTTGCACAGAGGCTTTGGCTCGCGGAGAGGGCGCTGCAGAGCTGCCCCTCTACTGGGACTCATGGGAAAGACACGCTCGCTCATCACCGAGGCCCAGGAAAGGTTTGTTAAACATGAGTTTTTTACCTATTTATATTATTAAAACTGTTTACTCTATTCAAAATAACCATAATAAATACTTACATAAGACATCAATAAACTATTACGCGATATTTTTCTCACATGTAATCAAATAGTAATTGAAGTCATTGTTAGATCTCTATAAGAAATATCTAATTATTAAAACTATTACTAACCGTTTAAACAACATACAGCAAGCTAAAACCGAAGGAAATATTAAATGTATGTAAAAGAATAATATTCCTATACTAGCTGACCCGGCAAACGTTGTTTTGCCATATAAATTATTTGTAGAGTAGAAAAAAATGTTTGGGATGGACCACCCTTAACATTTAGGGGGATGAAAAATAGATGTTGTCCGATTCTCCAACCTGGCCGATATGCACACAAAATTTCACGAAAATCGGTAGAGCTGTTTCGGAGGAGTTCAATTACAAACACCGTGACACGAGAATTTTATATATTAGATATAGTTGTTTTATATTACAATGTCATGTTCCAGGTGGAAAGTCGCCGACGACTCCGGTGAACAAACGTAAGCAGAACTCTCATCTGCCAGCCCCGGCTTCTTTGACAAAGTCGAGGTCACACGAGTCGCAGCTCTCCGTCAGACCTGACGCATCCGATCTTAGGTATCTTAACTTGAAAATATAAATTAAATGCACTAAACGGCAATATTGTTATTAAAGTAAAACAAAAACAGAATGTCCCTGTTATCTAACAAATGTATAAATTAATGGTGATGTCTAATCTTGCACTTGTTTGAACCAAAGACTTATTGCATACTACCTATTGTATTATATATGACTATGGTAGGTATTTCCTTGCCCGCTTAGGTGAAGTTTTACTAATTTTCTTTTCTTTGATTATTTTTAATCCATGACATTATTATTATTTAATACATTACTTCTGATCTCTTGCACTAGTTCTCCGCGGTCCCCCCAGATTATCTTCCTCCAATCCATTGGATCTACCGATGCATGGTGGACCCAGGAGTTAAGACCGAGAGAAAAGGACCCTTTTAATAGACTTTGGACCACGGAGCTCGGTTTTAGTGTCTTCTAATAGTTCCTGAACGCTTGCAGCGACAACAGCCAGTCGTCGGCGCGGGAGGGCGTCGACGGCGTGGAGGAGGGGGGCGACGGAGGGGGCAGCCCCCCCGCCTCGCCGCGCGACGACTCGGAGAGCACCCCGCAGCGCAACCACGGCCCCCCCGCCCACTACCATCCACCGGCGCACTGCAACAACACAGTGCGTACCCAACATAGTGTCGAGCCTCACTATACACAATTGGAGTGGAGTAACAAGTCTTTGATAAACTAACGGTTCTCCGACGGCACACATTTACACATTCGAAGAATGTACTTATTGTATTAATTCGCTTTTGGTATGGACATGCTTACGAGGAATGGGGTTAGTTAAAAAGTAAAGATGTACCTATCACTATTTATAAAAACATGAGAAAATGCATGATTATATTCAGATGTTATATGCTTTAACGGCTTAAGCTCCTAAAGTGGCATGTTTGTTCTGAGAATTACCATGGCCTAAAGTGGGGGGTAGTCGTCTTTCACGTCCGTAGGTGGTAACTCTTAGATTCCCTACACGTGCCCCCTGGGTGGTGCTAATTGAAAGACAACGCCGAGCATCGGGCGGCGGTTAAGTAACCCGACTTATGTAGGTTGCCACAAACCCAGAAAAATGGAAATATTTTCTGAAAGTGTGGAGCTCGCCAAGACGTGTGGCTGACGTGGCGAGTATCGAGCTAAATACCTCCAATAATGAACGATACAACTTTACCAAGGCCCCTAGTCACCAGCAGTCCCGCTATCCCGAGTCACGGCAGCGGCATCTCTGGGTACGATCCGGCTGCCAAACCAAATTGACCCTGGCTGCGTACAATATAAGGACTCTGAGAGACGAAGCAAAGCTAGAAGAGCTACAGAAGGATAAACTACGACATAGTCGGACTGAGCGAAAGCAGACGGCAGGGAGAGGGTACCATAAGACTCCAATCAGGTGACTTGTTTTACTACAGGGGTGAGGAAAACTCGTCGTATGGCGGTGTAGGCTTTGTAATTAGACGCCCCCTCGTAGAGCACATAACTGAACTTTTCAGCATATCATCTCGCGTATCCTACATCATTGTACGAATTAACAAAAAGTACTCCCTCAAAATCATTCAGGTTTATGCACCAACCAGCTCACATAGTGACGAAGAAGTGGAGTTGTTCTTTGAAGATATATCTAAAGCGATGAGAAGAGGGCACTCCCACTACATTGTAATCATGGGTGATTTCAACGCTAAGATTGGCACAAGATGGGAGTCGGAAACCTGTGTGGGTCCGCACGGCATAGGAAATCGGAACTCACGTGGAGAAAAGCTGGTAAACTATCTCGCAGCTAACAATCTATTTGCTATGAATTCGTATTTTCAGAAGAAGCCCAAAAGAAAGTGGACATGGGTAAGTCCGGGAGGAAATACGAAAAATGAGATAGATTTCATCATCTCCAACAACATGCACATTTTCACTGATGTCACAGTGCTCAATCGTTTCCAAACAGGCAGCGATCACAGACTTGTCCGAGGAACAATTGTGTTAAACACGAAACTGGAAAGAGCAAAACTCGTACGAAGAAAGTTGGGAAAGCTGTATATTCCAGAGAGCGTCGACGAAACTTTTGAGAAATCTCTAGAAAAATCCTTGAAAAGAACAGCGATGGAACATTTCGAACATGGTCTCCAAACTAAATATAACCGTTTTACAAAGATCTTGACGGCCACAGCAAAAGAACAGTTCGGTAGAGTAAAACACACCTTCATCTTGGTTTCCAGAAAACGTGAAAAACATGATGCAAGAACGCCGTAAGATAGCAGCCGATGAATTTAACAGCGATGCACATCGTGAGCTAAACAAAAAGATTCACAAGATTCTCAAGCGTGAAATCCGTAAAAAAAAACACTCTTGAAATCCACGAGCTGATAGAGAAAAACCGGGGTTTCAAAGTGTTTCAGCGAAATTACGGAGCTAACGAAATAAACATTCTGAGAGATAACAATGGTATCCTAAGAAGTAACATCCAGGAGATTAAGAAAATCATCGAGGAATTCTACAGCAGTCTCTACTCAACCACCACACGACAGCTTACTTCTGTTGATTCAAGCGATAAACGTGCTCCCATCATGCTGCTGCATCTACTCGGATGACATCCCCGAAATCAATACAAATGAAGTGAGGCAAGCACTGAAGCAAATCAAGAAGTTAAAAGCTCCGGGAGAGGATGGCATTATTGTAGAACTTCTGAAAGCAGGAGGCAGGGCTGTTATAAAGGAGTTATGTCTGCTATTCAACGAGGTCCTATTTACTGGAGAAGTACCTAAAGAATGGACAAACAGCATCGTTGTTCTCTTCCATAAAAAAGGGGATAAAACCCCTCTTAAAAACTATCGCCCTATATCACTTTTAAGTCAGGTGTACAAAGTGTTCTCCAGAATCGTGACTACACGCTTAACACAAAAACTGGACGAACATCAACCCAGGGAACAGGCAGGATTTAGAAAAGACTTTGGAACAATAGAACACATCTTTACACTTCGACAGATCATCCAAAAGTGCGAAGAATACAACAGGCCTCTTTGTCTTGCCTACGTCGATTACGAAAAAGCGTTCGACTCCATAGAACACTGGGCAGTTACCGATTCGCTTCATCGATGTCACAAAGACTACAGATATATTCATCTTCTGAAGAGCTTATACAAGTCGGCGACAATGACAGTACAGCTGAAAGAGCCAACAGATCGTATACGAGTTCAAAGAGGAGTCCGACAAGGAGACGTTATATCCCCTAAGCTATTTACCGACGCCTTGGAGGACATATTCAAGACATTGGACTGGAGTGGCAAGGGAATAAATGTCAATGGTGAATATCTGAGTCACCTGCGCTACGCTGATGATAAAGCCATAATTGCTGAGCACGCTGAAGACCTGCAACACATGCTGGAGCAACTATATCAGGCGTCCCTGCGAATAGGTCTTAAGATGAATATGGAGAAGACCAAGGTTATGGCAACAGCCGATCTCACACCGAACTCCATTTCATTGAACGGGCAACCACTGGAGCAGGTGCAGGAATACACTTACCTAGGACAGGTAATAAGGCTTGGTCGGGACTCGATGATGGCAGAGATGAGGCGAAGGGTAATGTTGGGATGGGCAGCCTTCGGGAAGCTGAATTGCGTGCTTAAGTCCAAAATTCCCCAATCACTTAAAACAAAAGTGTTTAATCAATGCGTTCTTCCGGCTATGACATATGGATGCGAGACATGGACACTGACTGCTGGGTTGATCCACAAGCTCAAGGTGACGCAGCGCAACATGGAGCGAGCCATGCTCGGCATTACGTTACAGGACCAAGTCCGGAACGAGCTCATCAGACGTCGCACGAAAGTGGTCGACGTGGGCCACCGAGTAGCGAAGTTAAAGTGGGCTTGGGCCGGACACATGTGCCGAAGAAAAGAGGAACGTTGGAGCAAGCGCGTTCTGGAGTGGAGACCCCGGCTAGGCAGGAGAAGTGTGGGCAGACCACCAGCCCGATGGTCCGATGACATAAAGGAGACAGCAGGCCCAGTCTGGACAAGGGAAACAAATTGGAGAGGCGTATGCCCAACGGTGGGCGAACACACGCTGAAGAAGAAGAATAAGAAGAAAGTGGAAGTAATATACTTTCGCGTTTAACCCAGCGAGTGAGATAACCATTGCCAGGTTATTCATATAGTGTTCTGTATATCTCTCAGTGAAGAGCCGTGATAGCTCAGTGTCCGGGCGCTCGCCTTTAATTCAATATACTCAAGCAACCTGAGTTCGATCCCCGGTGCTGGCACCAATGAAGTTTTTAACTTTAAGTGCTGACTTATCACGTGCTCCGCGGTGAAGGAAAACATCGTGAGGAAACCTGCGTATTTTCGAAATAATAATAAAAAAAATATATATATATTTCGAAGATATGTGAAGTCCGCCAATCCGTAGTGGGGCTGCGTGGTGGACTATTCCCTGACACCCTCTGAATAGAGGAGGCCTTTGCCCAGCAGTGGGACATGTATAGGCTGTTAACTGTACTTTACTTTTATATCTCTCAGTTACTAACGTGTTGTCGTTTCAGGGCGCGACCGCTCCCCGCTCCCCCCGCACCCCCACCGTGGGCCGCTGCATGGCCCACGACATCGCGCACCGCTTCACGAAGACCTTCAACATGATCGCCACGTGCGACTACTGCGACAAGCAGATGCTCTTCGGCTCCGGCCTCAAGTGCAAGGAGTGCAAGTTCAAGTGCCACAGGTTACTACACAGGGTGCTACATTTCAATGATATCATATACGGGACCTCGTATTTGTACACGGATATCAAGGCTTTTTGTATTTCTTAACTTCCATTTCTCAGTCTTTTGGCATTTCATTTGGTGTTAAGTGATAACCGTCTCCCATGAACAGTCGCAACACCCGTAGGTTGTAAATGCGTTGCCACCTTTTGATAAAGTGGGCCCCGGCTACCTCACTCACCTGACCCAAATGCAGAAGTGTAATACTTCTACTTTAGACCGGCGGGTCATCTGTGAGGTTGTGTTACTTTCACAGATGGACCTGCCCATTCATGCAAACAGTGAACACTGTTGCATGGCTCACTGTCAATTTTTTGTATTTTTTTTTCTGAGATCCTTTTTATACACTACCATAACCTACCTGTCCACTGGTTGCTGCAAGTACCCTCACTGAATATATTTTTAACAAAAACTAAAACTGAATTATAGCTACTTAAGTTTTAGTTTTTGTTAAAAAGTGTTATGGACAACATGAGGATATTAATGCTATATTGTGTCAAACTTTGAAAGCAATTGGTAAGGAACCTTTGGAGATCAGTGATAAGGAACAAATGTGTTATTTGTGATAAATAACATTTATATAGAATAGGTATGATAAGATTATCTGATGTTATATGGACATTTACATGCTTATCTCATAGATGCTCATCTAATGAGAAATAATTTTTTTGTTTTATTAATAAAATAAAAAACAAGTTTAAGACAATTCTGTTCAATACACATATTAATCTAAAGAATAATATTTATAAACATTTTCTTAACTGAAAGGTGTCTATAATGTATATGTTAATAAGGTAAATTTATGTTTTATCTAATAATTTGAATTGAACCATTATTTTCCAGAGACTGTGAGAGCAAAGTTCCTCCTTCATGCGGCTTACCAGCTGGATTTGTGGTCGCGTTTAAAGAGAAATTTCACAAAGATGGTGAGTCTATTACATAAAAATGTAACTATTTAATAAAGTATAAAAGTACATATATATTTAATTTATAATTAATGCCAACCATGTAACAATGTGTGTGAGCCGGGGCCCACTATATTAAAGGGTTGGAACACATCTGCAACCATCACTCATACATCAGGTATACTGCCTACTTTCATTTGCAAACTTTTCACATAAAAAAAGTGCATGGAATCACTCCACACAGAAGAGGTGAAACTTCGAGTGCCACGCACTCACTCTTGCTCTGTCTCTTTCCATTCCCCCTCCCCACGAGCGTTGAACGTTCAACGCAACAGTGCTTTCCTAGGCCCCTCCACGGTAGCGTTAAACGTTTAACGCAACCTTGTTGGAAGTAGCGTTAGTAGTTTCACTTAAAAAAAAAAAAATTATCTTACTGTACCTTGACCGTGGTCGTTTCCAGCGGCGGGCGGGTACTACCTGTGCGCGTCGCCGACCGCGGGCCGCAGCGCCGGCTTCCTCTCGTCGCTGACGAGCCGGCCGCGCCGCCGCCGCCAGCCGCCGCAGCCCTACCACCACTCCGTGAGTGACCCGCCCCCCGCAGCCGCGCCCCGCCCCCCGCCGCCCCGCACCCGCCCCCCGCCACACCCGCTCACCGCCCGCCCCGTGAGTGCCCCGCCCCCCGCCACACCCGCTCACCGCCCGCCCCGTGAGTGCCCCGCCCCCTACCCCGGCAACCGAGCCGGCTGCGGAAATGACGTCACTACGGGCTTTGTCGCTTGAGGGCATACACTTACCTTCCTTGGCCCTTTGGCTTGGCCGTCGGTGACCAAGCGACAGGTACTAAATCCCTCCACCATGACTAGTTTTCCATGCCCTTTCGATCTAGTAGTAGCGGCGGATCGTCGCCGCCATTAATACCTCTCAACGGCACTGACCGCTATCGCATGCCATGCCCTCTGTACTAGTTTTCTACATCCCCCCGAGCTGCTTGTTAAATTGTTTATTAGTTATTGTTCGTCAACGTCCGTACATTTTGTGTACGTAACAACAAAGGGCGTTAGATTCATGTTGCCTCGCGCTGAGAATTATCACGTATCAGCCGGGCAGTTTAGTGTCTGCAGTACATATGTGTTCAAGTTGTAAACAAGTGTAATTAAAACATTGTGGTGTGAGTGAATGAAGTGTTTAATCAAAAACTACTTCAATTGTTCGACAACCCTACCCTCGCCTGTCACGTGTCGCTTCCATAGCGCTGACGACACTAATGTCACCCAATGAGGTAACCGTTCCTATTTATTTAAATCTCTCAAGAGTTTTATACATATCATTATTCCATTATATTCACAATAAAAACAAGTTAACTGCATAATCACTCTTGCATAAATAGAAATGTATTCATTTCACTGATTTCAATGTAGTAAATCTTGTGTGGTTCATTGATGTCAAAGGGTAGAAGTACGGTTTAGATAGAGTAAATGTTTAGGTCATTGAAATATTCCTTTCATTAATATTTAAAAGTAGAACGTTAATTGCATTACCTGTTTATACTTTACTAAAATTATCATCGTCTTCTATTAACTCTCGTCACCAGTATCCATTTTCGTCACGCCCGACATTGTATCTCCCTCTGTCGTTCATAAAAAAAAAAACAATAACATAGTGATCATAACGCTAATTATTTTTTGTTTACTGAAAAAAAAATATTTACGCAAAAATATTTTTGTTGCTATCCGTACTTCTCTAGTGACCTCTGACAGATCGAGGCCATTGACATTGACTCTTATTCGAAATGCACAATATACTAACACGTAAATTTTTCGGACAGGGCGGGCCGGACTCTTCGTCGAACACGTCGTCGTGCAACAGCTCGACGCCCTCGTCCCCTGCTCTGGCCGCGCCCGCCACCCCGCTGCAGCACCAGCACCAGCAAGCCCACCAGCCGCCCAACGGCAAGCAGCAGTTCCACTTCCCCGGTGAGAGGGTGCCCCTCGAGAGCCTATTATATCTGTGCAGTTGCCAAGGCTTCGCGGTCTTGGGGTGCGTCGGGGTCTTGGGTTCGATTCCCACACGGGACAACCCACACAAATGTGTGACCATCAAATAATTGTTTCGGATCTGGGTGTTTTTCCATGTGATTTTGTATATTAAACGTCCATAGACCAGGATAACTTTGTCCTACAGTAAGAGGCAATTTTTTAACAAAAAAAAAAAAAAAAAAGAAAATTGCTTGTTGGTGAGCGTTTACGGCCAACGTTGGTGTTTGATTATGTGAACATAGATTTAATATTCAACTTACTACTAAAAGGACGAGATTTTGAATTCGGTTTAATTTTTTTTTTCAAAACACTCATTTATTTACCAAATTTTGCAATGTTAGCGACATAATCGCTTTCAAAAAGCTATAGTAAAAGTGTTGAAAGAACTGCCAACAAAGCACCTACAGACTTGATTACATTAATCAATGGTTTCTTATCAGCGCATATTTGTAATCACATTAATGCTGAAATTTATTTGTTAATAGTATATATACCATTTTTATAAATATATACTATCCCCATTTCTTGCCTGTTTTGTCGAAAGTTACTCAAAGTCAGTGACATTTTTGTTTTCAACGCAGAAATCAAGCCACCTGTGTCGAGTCCGAACCACAACTCAACTGTGCAGTCGCCGGCTAGGCCCCTACTAGACCACAAAGATGATCTCACCTCGAGTATCAAAAGCGGTAAGAGCGCAACTGATTTGCAACCGAGTATTAATGTGGTTGGATGATGTGAAGCTTGGGAAAGATTGAGAAAGATTTGGATGGACTGTGTGAAAAATGATATGTTTGTGAAAGGGATAAATATTGAGGTGAGGTGAAAGAAGATAATGGAAGGTTAGGATTTGTTGTGCTGAACTCACCTAATGTGGGATAAGGGCAGGAGCTTCTTATTTCTCCTGCCCTTATCCCACAAAATTGTTGAAAAAGATAAAGTAATGCGATAGAAAGGGTAAAAATTTCAATCACATACTGTGTTTATATTCGTTTTAATACCAAGTGCTCTATATCGTACGTTCTATACGTCTCTACGTATATATCGTCGTACGACAACCTATTTGCTGTAAACCACAAAATGGCAACTTTGCATCGGAACCAAAAAATCTAAATCATGTTACAAAGCTATAGACGGTGGTTGATGTGAATTTAAAAATGTTTGATGACTTCGCGCGTATCTTATAAAATATCGCATCTTGTTCGTTCATCGCTTATTTGGTCTCACTTAAAAAGCTATAGATCATGGTGAAATTCACGATTTAAAAACGTTTGTTCACTTCTCGCAGTAAGACATCGCATCATATTCGTGGAGACAAAAGAAAAAATGTTCGTTGTCTTCGCGTACCTAGTATGACATTGGATATTGTTCGTCGAATGCTAAATCGGTGCGATTCGACGCAGAGCGTTCGCGGCGCGTGTCGCTGAGCGGCTCCGGCTCGACGGACAGCGGCAGCGGGCCGCGCGCCGACCCCCACCACGCCCACCACGCCCACCACGCCCACCACGCGCACGACGCGCGCTGGCCCCGACAGAACTCGGTGAGTGCTACCCCCATCTCCTTTTAGTACTCACGTGAGTCGAACCCCAACCCCCCCCCCCCCCCCACCCACATCGCGCGCATACGCGAGCGCCCTCCCCACCCTCCATCTTTTTTGTACACGCGTGAGAGGAATCTCCTTCCTATCTTGTATAAGCAACCCTTCAACCTCCCAACTTATTTTACGCAAACGCGACGGGACCGCCACCCTATTTTCGTTTTTTATCCACCTGAGTGATAATCAACCCCCTCCCCATCCTCTTTTCGTACACAGGTGAGCGGACCCCTATTACAGACCAATGTGTGTTAAGCATAAAAAACATTGGTGGACCTTCCAGCTAATTACTTTTTTGGTATGTATATTCAGATATTCGATTGGGGCATCTATATTGCCCTCGTGGTGGGATAGGTAAGGCAGAGCTATCAGGTTCGGACCCTACAACAAAACATTACACGCACAGTACACGTTTACAATAGACGACGTGCATAATTGCGTTTAGGTAAAAGCACAAACAAATAATTCAATATTTCCTCACTAATTACATTCCAAATAATTGCTACCTAAAGTCATCGGCGTACGAATTTTTTAAATATTACTAACTGAGGATGACGGAAAAAATTAAAGTATTTAGCTTTAGTGAATGTGAGATGGTAAAAATCTTCTGTTGCCAATGGGTATCCGTTGTGTATATGTATGTATATAGGTTTGCAATTGAGTATTGTGAGTGCATGCCTGTATACAGGGTGGCTTTTTTATAGGTGCCCAAATTCAAACAGGAGGTTCAAACTAGGTAGTATAATCGTTTATTGAAATAAAAACAATTTTTTTTTTTTTTCAAAAAAATTGCCATTCTATTCCCTAAAAAACAGAACTTGTTGACAATGCGGAAGTCATTCATAAATGCGTTGTATACTTTTGAAACGAAATTGTGTGCGTGTTAGTTATGAATGATCCCGCGCAAAATAAATAAGTTAAAATTAAGGGGTCGTGGGTTCGATTCCCACACGGGACAACTATTTGTGTGACCCATAGATAGTTGTTTCGCATCTGGGTGTTTTTCCACGTGAAATTTATGTTTGTAAAACGTCCTTACAAGACAATAAAGTTATTCTAAAGTAAGGGCAATGTTTTTAAATAAAAACAAAAAAAAATTTCTGCAAAGCTAGGATGAGCCAGTACGTATATCATAAAACTTTCATCATAGTATAAATTTTCTACTGTCAATGAAATATTAAAGTGAAAAAAAATTATTTCCTCCTTAATACTTCAGTAATTTTAAAAATAGTATTATCATTGCCCTTAACCCACCTGGTGGGGTCGGCACAACATGTCAACACAATTATTGTGAATCTTGTTGTAATTGCCTGACGTCAATCTGCCTTGGGAACAAAAACCCAGATCCGCAAGAGTTATCTGTGGGTCACAAAAATCTTATAGCATCTACAAAAATACCAAAAATCATCAAATGAAATTACTTTTTGTTTTATGTGACATATAGGAGTTATTTATTATTTTATTATTTTTAGAATTCTAGTAATAAGATGTATACATGCTTATATACAAAATATATGTTTAGCTTATATAATTATATTAGCTTCTATCAACAAAGGGCGTTGGGGAGAATTTAACATTAGGGTGGCTTTAGTCAGGGGTAAAATTGTACATAGGGGATGGGATAATAGAAGTCCTACGTATTGATCGGCAGAGAACTGATTTCCTATAGATTCGTATTGATTTTGTGCAATTGGACATGGAGTGTGTGACATTGTTCTGTTAAATAAGTTTATACGTGAGCGAAATCAAGAAAGAAGGTTTTAAATTTTTATAGTGCTGATCTCTCTGCTCATGAGATGATTTATTGATATTTTTGGGAAAAAAATGACGAAAACTTTTTTGCCGCTGTTGGAATGGATTCTGGGCGCGAATCCGGAAGACGTGGGTTCATTTTGTCCTTTTTTAGGGTTCCGTACCCAAAGGGTAAAACGGGACCCTATTACTAAGACTCCGCTGTCTGTCTGCCTGTCTTTCACCAGGCTGTATCTCATTAAACCATTATAGTTAGACAGTTGAAATTTTCACAGTTGATGTGTTTCTGTTGCCGCTATAACAACAAATACTAAAAAAAACATTGAAGTGGGGGCTCCCATACAAAAGATATGAAATTCGTTTTTATAGATAATACGGAACCCTTTGTGCGCGAGTCCAACTAGCACTTTTTTTAGGTTTTTATTATATACATTTTAAACTAGGGCTTAACAATTAAATGTCGATACCCAGATAGAAACGAGTGAGAAGTTGATTTTGATATAACAGTTTATCTTAAATACAAATTTAAATTTAAACAGACGAAGCTTCTCGTGTGCACGCGTATTTGTTTTACCAATTAAACTAACCGATAGGCACTCGAATAAATCAATCAATTCAGAGATAGCGCGCTTTGTTCGAGCTTTGCGATAAGGCCCACTTCCCTAGTGCGATAGCCGCATCGGCTGAATCACTGTTGGATGAGCTTTCTTCGAACGAACGCGTATTGGCCATAAAATCTTTATTAAAAAAAAAAGAACGCGTTTTGCTCCTTTGACGTTTGTTTTTTTTAATCTTTATAAAGTGGTCAGTGTTGTGTTTATGCTCGTTTAATTTTTTTTTTTAGTGATAGTGTTGCGTGTGAAGTTTATTTTATTATTTTTTTTCGTCGTGGACAGCGTCGCTACCGACATGACTTCGTTCATTCACAGGAGACGATTGTTCGAGGAAGTATGTGTTGTTCATAGATTTCGTTTGATTTATTATTTTCTAAATAATGTAACTAACTTTCCTTGGGATATTCGCTGTCGCATAGCGATATATCTCTCGTTCGAATTAGCGTTGTACTAGTATTAGGATATAACAATGGAAGCGCCAAACATTACTTAAAGTGAGAGAAAGCATTGTATTTAAAATACGTTAAGATTTTCGTCGTAGAGGCATCGAAAATTAGTAATTTGCCGTTTGACGTTGTGGTTGGGTTAGATTCCTGCTGTGACTGCGAAATACTTCGTTGATTTTCTTTACAAATTAAAAAATGTACATTGTTGATACCTCTATACTTGTCAATACTAAACGGCGGTGAATGTTCATGCCAAAGCGAAAGGAAAACGCACACTCGCATACTGTAAGTGTATTATTATCAATCCGTTGATATTAATCTTAACAAAAACCGGTCGAGTGTGAGACGGACAAGCGCACGAAGGGTTCCGTACCATTATCCATAAAAAAATCATGTCTGTCGTATGGGAGCCTCACTTAAATTTTTTTTTTGTTTTTAGAGCGGCAACAGATATACATCACCTGTAAAAATTTCAACTGTCTATCTATCACGGTTCATGAGATACAGCCTGGTGACATACTGACAGACAGACAGACATCGGAGTCTTAGTAACAGGGTCCCGTTTCACCCTTTGTGTACGGAGCCCTAAAAACGTAATTTGTTTGTACTAACACCATGGTCAATACAGTACCCTGCAGTTGCACCGACGTCTCGCCGAATTCTTAACACGAACGGACCATATTAGGCTCGACTCGGTAATAGGTCAAGCGCGAGCGGCGTATTCACTACTAGCTGCTGCCCGCGACTACATCTGCGTAGAATAGGCTAAAGGCGTAACATTCAGACAGAAAGACAGATACACATAAAATATGTATTTTGTTATATTACTTATTCTGATGCTTATAATATTATTGTAAAATTTCATTAAAATCCATTTCGTGTTTATAACATTAGTAAGGGTTAGTAAGGATTGGCCGGTGTCGTGTGCAGCTCTCGATGAAGGAGTGGGACATCCCCTACGACGAGCTGCAGCTGTTCGAGGTGATCGGCGCCGGCCGCTTCGGGACCGTGTACCGGGGCAGCTGGCACGGCGCGGTGGCCGTGAAACTGCTGCACGTGCACTCGCTCAGCGACCACTGCGCCCAGCTGGACACCTTCAAGCACGAGGTGACCACACGCCACTAGTGAAAACCCCGGACATTCCTGTTGGAGGCGTAAAAACCCTGGACGTTCGTGCTTGAGATGTAATCATGCTTCCATTCGTTATACGACAAACCCATCCGCTGCTATTTTGACCACTGCGACCAGCTGGACACCTTCAAGCACGAGGTGACCACACGCCACTAGTGAAAACCCCGGACATTCCTGTTGGAGGCGTAAAAACCCCGGACATTCCTGTTTGAGGCGTAAAAACCCCAGACATTCCTGCTTGAGACGTAATCATGCTTCCATTCGTTTTACGACAAACCCATCCGCTGCTATTTTGATCACTGCGCTCAGCTGGACACCTTCAGGTACGAGATGACCGGCCACTAATGAAAATCCCGGACTTTCCTACATGAGACGTACCTATGCTTCCCTTTTCTCCCCACAATAACCCCATCTGCTGCTATTTTGTCCACTGCGACCAGCTTCAAGAGTCAACACCTTCAAGCACGAGGTAACTATATGCCACCCTTAAAAACCCTGAATATTTCTCCCTGAGGCGAAATCACTTTATTGTCTTTTTTTTAAATAAATATTTCAGGACATGTTTTTACACGTTTTCTAGTCCCAAACTAAGCAACGCTTGTACTGTGGGTACTAAATAACTGTTAAACATACTTTTCTTTTTTTTAAATAAATACATATTATAAATATATTAACACCCCGACACTGGAAAAACGCTATGTTCACCGCACAATATTTTCACAGTATTTGGGATCGAACCCACACCCTCTGACGCAGGAGGCAGGGTCACTAACCGCTACGCTAGTGGGGTCGTCATCCATCGTGCCTCCCTTCTCACAAATGTGAATGTGCACTGGCTGATATCAGTGGCCAAACGGAAGTAACAAGTTCCGCTTTCCGCTCCCCGCCGGCAGGTGGCGACCTTCCGGAAGACGAGGCACGAGAACCTGGTGCTGTTCATGGGCGCCTGCATGAAGCCGCCGCGGCTGGCGATAGTCACCTCCCTCTGCAAGGGCATGACCCTCTACACCCACATCCACCTGCGGAAGGACAAGTTCACCGCCAACAAGAGCGTCCTCGTCGCGCAGCAGATATCGCAGGTGAGTCGGAGCGAGACGGCCAGCTTTTTCCGTGTTCCGCCTCAATTGTTAGGTGCCCTACATGGGGAGAGTAATTTTTTTTTTTGTGTGAGGTGAAGCCGCTGTGAGTCCGAGCGAGACGGCTAGCTGTTGAACTTGTACGTCACAATTGTTAGGTTCCCCGCGTATAGAGAGTGCAGGGTGTTCTTTATTTATGTGAGAAGGCGGCAAACGAGCTGTCGGTATACCTGATGTTTAATGATAACCGCCGCCCATCGACATTTGCAACACCAGTAGGATTGCAGATGCGTTGCCATCCTTTAATAAAGTGTGCACCGGCTTCCTCACTCACCAGGCGAAACGCAGAAGTGTAACGCTTCTACTTCACGCCGGTCTTCTGTGAGCTCGCGGTCTGTGAGTGTCTGGTCGGACCTGCCCATTCGTGTAACAACGAAAACTGTTGCTTGGCCCTACCACAGTTTTTTCTTTAATGTGCAACATGTATTGTCGCGCGGCAGTAAAGTAAATGAGCAAGGTACAACCGCTAACTAGCCCCACTCTCCCTTTAAAGGACCTCCGTTGGTCCGAAACTAGTCGGTACCTACGCCGACGGGACTTATTAAAAAAAAAACAGGTGACGTTTATTTAGGGAGTTAATGATGTCACACGAACGTTTTAATACTTAAGTGCAATGCTGCTCGAGTTTAAAGGAATACTCATTGTCACTTTATTAAAATTAAGAAGATTAAGGACAATTCTACAAGCAGAGCTTCGAAGCGTTTAGAACACCTGTAGAGTTGCAGACCCGTTGCCACCATTTAATAAAGTCGGCCGCCATTTTGTAAAATAGTAACTTTAAAATTCAGTTCAAGCAGCTGTGCCCCTCATCCCATCGATTCATTCATAATTCTTCCTACGTATCAACTCCCATTCCCCTCCTCCCCCTAATTGATTAATTCGTAATTCTTTCTACGTACGCATCACCTAAATTTGCAAACTGTCCAGGGCATGGGCTACCTGCACGCACGAGGCATCATTCACAAGGACCTGAAGACGAAGAACATCTTCCTGGAGAACGGAAAAGTCGTCATCACCGACTTCGGTCTATTCAGCGTCACCAAGCTGTGCTTTGGAAACAAGTGAGTTTTGTCATTACAATGATATAAAAAACCAGCCAAGTGCGAGTTGCACTCGCGCACGAAGGTTCCTTCTCTATAAGAACGGCAAAAAAAATCATAGTCTATTTTATAGGAGCCCCACTTAAATATGTTTTTATTCTGTTTTTTAGTATTTGTTGTTATAGCGGTAACAGAAATAGATCATCTGTGAAAATTCAATTGTCCAACTATATTACATGAGATACGCCTGGTGACAGACGGACAGAAAGATGGACAGCGGAATCTTACTAATAGGGTCCCGTTTCACTATAGGGCCAGCCCATTAATGATAACCTCCGCGGAATGAGTTAATCGCTCCCCAGACATTTCGACCAAAACAAAAAAAAAACACGTTTGGCACTTTTTCATGTAACGTCAATGTTATTAAGAAAAAAAAAATGTTACTGTACTTTTGAAATATACGGACGTTCGCGTTTTATGTCGCAGCGCGCGCGGCGACAGCCTGGGCATCCCGCCGGGCTGGCTGTGCTACCTGGCGCCCGAGCTGGTGCGGGCGCTCCGCCCCCACGCCTCGCTGCACCTGCCCTTCTCCAAGGACACCGACGTCTACGCATTCGGGTACTCCCCCGCACCCCTCACCTCCCACCCTTTTCCGTGTTTACTGTGGTACCTGTGCTGTTCTGTGGCAACTGTGGCCACACAACAGGCGGGTTCGCCCGGGTAAGTACCACGACCTCACAGGAGGTGAGGTAGCTGGGGTACACTTTTTTTGGAATATTAGGAGGTTAAAACTTGTAGAAAAAGTGTGAAAAGATGGTCGCCGCTGTGGGAATCGGACCTACGTCTTCGGCATTCGCGGCCTGACGCTTTAGCCACTAAGCTAAACGGCTGATTGCCACATCGACGAAAATCATCGTCTTTTAGCTACATTGTTTTTTTCATTCAAAAATATTAGGAGGTGAACCGGCAAAATCGGTGAATGCACCTTTATCCAACTATTGGTGCGACTACTGGATAAAGGTGTATTCACCGTGGTGTTGATATTCAAACGAATTTTAAATTTTCCTGTGATAGAGTCACGCAGCAGTTTTCGCTGTAGCACGAATAGGCAGGTCCGTACGCGTCTACAAACTACATTTAACATCAAGTGAACAGTCTCACATAAAAAAACTCGTATTAGTTTCTCGTTTTTAAAATACGCCTCCTCTGTTTCCAGCACGGTATGGTACGAGCTTCTCTGCGGCGAGTACCCATTCAAGGGCCAACCGCCTGAAGCGATCATCTGGCAGGTCGGCAAGGGCGTGAAACCTTCGCTGGCCAACATGCAGGCGTCCAGAGACATCAAGGTACCGAACGCACTACATTTATAAGGTCCAAAAATACTGTGGGACGGCCACGCAACTGTCTTCGCTCTTGCACGAATGGGCAGGTCCATCCGGGTATGTATATGTATGTATATATATATAATACCTCACAGAAGACCGGCGTGATGTGGAAGTGTGTAGTACTTCTAAGTACAGGTTCTGCATTTCATCTGGTGAATGAGGCAGCCGGGGCCCACTTACACCACTACAGGTGTTACACTTGTCAATGACACTTTTTTGTCTTCCACAGTACTATATTACATGATTTGTGCCGTTCCAGGACATTCTGATGCTGTGCTGGTCGTACCGGTCGAACGAGCGGCCCGACTTCCCCCACCTGTTATCTACGCTTGAGAAGCTGCCGCGCAAGAGGCTGGCGCGCTCTCCCTCGCACCCCGTACACCTGTCCCGCTCTGCCGACTCTGTGTTCTGAGAGCGGCTCGGCGCACTGTGCGTGCGGCCCTAGCGGGGCACCGCAGCGGCCCCAGTTCGACTCCGCGTTGCGACGTGACCGAAAAATCCAGTGCATACAAGTGAATCTTTACTCGGAGTCAGTGCTAACTACAGTGCATATCCCAGTGGTCTTCTGCCCTTGATTCAGTGCATAGTGGAATTGTTGCCCTTCTTTTTCTATATATCGATCAATACACTTCATAGAACTTTGCGAGAAAAATCTATCGGTTTCTTTTTTGTTTATAGCGAATCAAATTAAGACAAATTACTGACAGTGATATTGCTTGCTTGTATTTACATGTACTTGGGTTCTCAATCGTACTTGAGTCGGTATACATATCATCATCTGTTCCCAGTCTGTGCAGTCGAGCAAAGGTAATCTTTGATGTTTAGTAGCATTGAATATATTTAAATTTGTAACACTATAATGGTATAATTAGGAAAGTTTCCTTTCTGTGTCAAGTACCATAAACACTGTATGTCCACATGCTAAACAATGTTAAATGGAACTATTTTACGGTATACAGGGTCGTAAAATAGTTTCAAGTACCAAAATGTTTCCCATTTGAATGTACCCGTTTTGGGTCCTTGCAACATAACAGATAACTACTTTCTGGAAACCTTAATCGTCGGTCGTGTCGCAAAAATGCTCATCGTATTTACTTATTTAATTGACAATGTAATCTCGATGCGTTTGAACATTTGAATTTGTCACTATACCTCGTTATAGTTTCGGTTATGTCAAAATGTAAAGAAAAACTCGAGTTGCAAAAAGATGAGAAACATGTAAAAATTGGGTAGACAAGGTTATTAATATTACAACACGCGAAGTGTTTGAGTTACTTTTTTTGCTCTTTTTCACTTAGGATCGAGTTACTAACTTAACACAGTGCTTACAAAGCACTGTGTTAAGTTACATAGATGCCCTGTACCCCTTGTCTGCTGAATTTCCTCGACGAGATCTTTAAGATTATTGTTATGTATATTTTTCTATCGAGAAAAAAAAAAACGGGTCTTAGCTACTTAGCTTGTATATAAGTAGCGGAATGTATCAAAAACGAAAACGAAAAAGAGTAGAGAAGAGATGGAAGAGAATGCTGTAAAGCGAATTCAGCGTTACTATAATGTATTTTGTATAGTTACTTGTAAGTTTTGATCTCTAATTAATCGATAAATTAAATTATATTTTCATATTTAAAATGACAAAAAAAATATATAAACAAACATACAGCAGCACTGCGCGGATGCGCTATTACGAATTTGTATATACTTGTATAGTGTTACGCTTTACGGGCTCGTCGGGTGCACACGTCAGAAAAGTATTTTGAACCTAATTTCGTTTCGATAGGGTTCACTTGCGATGCGTCACTTTGGTGGATCACACAAAATCTAGATCACTGACAGCCTAGTGGCTAGGGATTCGATATCAATTACCAAAATAATCACCGTCCAACCTAAATGCCCGCGTGTGAATCATGTATTGTAGTCCCGCTACCCCTTTTGGGATAAGGGACGTGGGAATGTAATGTTTGTATCGCATTATCAATTAAGTAAAAGAGGTGGTGGTCTAATGTGTGGTGATACTGATGGTTTTAGACTCAAATCCCAGTTACATGTACCAATCCAAGTGTGTCAGATTTTACGTGAAGAAATCATTGGCTGGCTATATAACGATATTTATCATGTTTGGAACCTAATGGTCCCCGGGAAATATTGCGTGTGTGTATGTGTGTCGTTGCATAACCTCACCACGCGTCCCACTGTAGGGCCAACATAACGTCTGTTGACGACTGCCCGCCGGCAGCTATTACCATGCCGGATAAAGTTTACCAAATTCTAAATGACCTCGCGCTTTATATCAGATTAATATTTTGTAGTATTAAAATTTACCCTAGGTCTATAATATAGTGATCTAATCTTTACTTTTATCGCGTACGAATTGAAATCGAAATTGTAGCTCGAAGTATGTAAGGCCTTAACCAGATATACCTCGTTTACAATTACACACCAAGTATAGCAATTTAAGCAATAATAGATAACTTTTTAGCGCTTAGGTAAATGGAGAGATGCTTAACATATTTTTCGAAGTTTATCTAATGATTTTATATTTGATATTTAACTTGCAAGGGAGCTTGTAACAGTGTTAGCACCAGTATGGCCCCCTACCCACAACGGAGGGCCCAAACCCGTGGGTTCTGGCTAGCCCACCGGTTCTGCGTCAGATGAAGCTTTTCAGTCTCGGGACTGAAAGCAAAAACATCAGTTAATACAAGTTATAAGATAAAAACGATTACAACGTAGGCGTCTTCAAGCCAAGAGTGAATAGGATTTTACTGAGCTAGCGCGCTTACCATCAAAGGCTGCATCGCCACTTACCATCAGGGATGGCAGTCAAGTGCTGGCCAGTTCAAAATAAAAAAAAAAAAACAGTATGGCCACGGCCAAACGCTCACTCGGTTTAGAATATTTCTTGGGCTAATCATTTCAATAATTTATAATCAATAGTTTGAATATATTTACTGTAATTGAAATTTATTTAAAAATAAAAAAAGTGGTATATCCAAATGCTTCATAAAATATTTACATCATAAGCTTTGATGTATTAAACTACGCAAAGGATTTAAATGCAGTTTTCAGCAATAAATAGAGTGATTTAAGAGGAAGGTTTATATGTATACCTGTAGTATACCTGCATAGTATTATAGTTGAGACAAGTCAAGAAATACAAAGATTTTTAAAGTGATGTAACAAACATAATTTTGTGCGCTTACATTGCAAATGATGGCTAAACCTTACAAGATAAATCAAATGAATTAATGAATAAATAATCTTTATTGCATACATCATGTTAAAAAAAAATACATTAAAAAAGACAATTAACACCCGTACCAAGCTGGGGCAGTATATTATCAAGCTTTTGAGATTGTGAGAAATTTAAGTTTTATTATGATGTGCGTAAAAGGGAAATGCTCTGAACAAAAGTGAGATGATTAATTATATATTCAAAGAGGTAACAAAAAAAGGCTATGAGTATGGGAAGCTGTGAATTCTGTTAATCAATAATAATGAACAGCCATTCAAAATTATATTATATTCAATTATATTTTCAATGTTAGTTTCTTTATCTGTTTTTAACTAATAGAAAAACCAATCCAGTGAAAAATGCAGTCATGAAATTTCTTGAAGTAATTGCAGATTTAAACAAAACAATATAATCAATGATAAAATTAATTATAAATAGACGTGCCTTTATGAAATACCAAACTGATTGAAATGATTTCCATGTCTTCATTAAGTAAATAAATGGCAATATTACTATTATAAATACCAAGGACATATTATAAACGGAATCTTTCCCATATAACTCAATTTGAATATATTAATATTTTTGTTATAATGAGTATTAATGAGTCACAACATATTTTTTTAAATAATTTTTAATAAATAACTAAAATTTTAAAAAACCCAAAAGAAAATTAAAATTCACGAAAAATGTTAATTTTTAATAGACATGAAATCTATGTTTGTGAACTTGCCAATTTTCCATGGGAAAGTGGTTTCCTAGCTAAACTCTGGTGAATACTCCAAATCTAAAAAACAGATCTATACGTGTTATTATCACCAACTCCATAAATTTAATATTGTGTTTTTTAATTTTGTATTGGGATATTCAAATATTTGCATGTGTGCACCCGACGCGCGAAGCTTCAATTCTTGCGGACTTGATATTTTCAACACTTTCTCTTACAGTGACTTAATTCAGATGGGATGGCTTTAAATTCCTTACAGGGGTTGTACAGTTCTTGTCACTCGGTCAAGTTCCCGCCGCACAGCGACAGACGATGCTGTGACCTCAGAGCATTACTTTATATATTAAAGATCAGGTTGCCATTTGTGGTGATGTCAAGCCCACAGATAGTACAATCCTGTCGTGGTCCATAAAGAATATGATTGGCGATACATGCGCATGATGCTCGCACTGGTAGTGGCTGGTCATCAATGTAAGCCAAGCCCCTCATTATAAATCTTGCTGACTGCAGATACCTTCAGCAAGTCAGAGTAAGCTTAACATATCCCGATATGTAAAGTGAAAACGACACAGAAAGCCACTGTGCGGTCGGACTGACAAGAGTGTTTTGTATATAAAATAAGAACATTCCTTTTGGGTAGTTCGTGAAGAAGTTTTTTCAATTTTTATATAGTTTACTATATTGCAAACTAAATTGTTCTCGGTCCTGGGACTTTGTAGCCAACATTAAAGGAATGTTTATGCGTCAAATACCTGATCGCCATTTGAATTGTAACCATCTAACCTGGCTGGCAATTATTCATGCATTTGGTTCTTTAAATTGTTATATTACGATTACTTAGGATCGAAGACGGAGTCTGATATAATAATCAGAATGAAATCAAAGTTTCAGGACCAGTTTGTTTATATAATATTTTGAAAGTTACCACTTTCTATAATGTTTCTAAAGAGGCTTTTAATTAGATCCGTAAAATGTTTTCCATTGAAGGCGGTATTGTCATTTTGTTTACAATTAAAATTAAAACTAATAGGGACGAGGCATGTTCTTTTTTTTTATTTATTTATTTATTTAAAAAGCAATCAGTTTTAATAGCATTTTTCTGTGTCAGTTTTTTTCAGGATGATACTGCTTTCAATTGATAAATATCGACTCAATATCATTCAATAAAAAAAAATAGTCACAAAGTTCATTTTGTATTTTATCAATAATTATAGATAGCAAACAAGATTTACGGCTCATTATGTTATTTTATTGTTTACTAAATTATTATTATTATTAAATAGTAGAAGTTTATTCTGGTCAGTCAACTCCTATTAAATTGATAGTTGTTTTTAAATTGAGAGGAGGATGTTGGTGGACGGTGGCCACAATAATCTGTATATAGTGTGTATGTGGCTTGGCTTGTATTATAATAATATTTATTCTGATGCTGTCGTCTGTCAGGTATCAATATTGCCATTACGAAGAGCCACTGTCATTCCCAGGCAAAGCAAATTTGAAAATGGATCAATGACATACAGGCATGTACCGCAGATGTCCACATTTCGGTTCTGTCAGTTGTAGTTTTACAAATTGAGATTTTGTGGTGAATAGGTTAGTTGCATTTGCCAAAATAAATCTTATCTCACTGTTTATATTTCTTTTATTGTCGAAACCCTCACATAATTTTTTTTTATAATAATCAGTTTGATTTATTAGTCAAAATAAATGCTGTTCCAAGAATTTACCAAGTTTAAGTAATAATTTCAAATTACCACAAATTTAGTGGGTCCACAATTTTATTTTTATATTTATGACATTAACAAACATCAAGTCAAGCATACATTGTTTAAATGAATATTTTTTTATTGCCAAATTAATTATGCATTACTTTAATTTTGGTTACAGGTTTAAGAAATTTATTTGGTAATAAATATTAAAAGTGCAAATAAACAGTTTTGCTAATGTGTCATGTCAAATATTAATGTATATTACATCAGATTGTTATGATCAATCTTCAAGAATTGAAATTACGAAACATGCCTAGCTAGAATAGTAGCTATATTAGAACACATTGATTTTATTTCTTTATCACTTAAATACTCGGCCCTGAGTATTGCATTACCTAAAGCAATTGTCTCACGCATAGTATTTGCCTTTATCCAGATGCGCCCATTAATACCTGCAGCAAGTTCAAATGGCCACTCATTTTTCAAGGAGTCTAATAAGGGGCAATTAGGATTCAAAATTTTCCTTATTAAATTCAATGAGCACTTAAAGACAAAGCCATCGGACAGTACACCCATTCGTCCTTTCTTTCCATGAGAGTCTACGCACACTAATTCAGGCTCCATGTCTTTGCTAGCAACGAGCATTTTCGCGTACACCACGTCGCCTATTTGGACATCAGGTTTATTTTTTTTAGTAGCCCCTTCGAAGGAAAGATAAGATAATGCCGCCGTCATACTACTACCGATGTCTACTCTAAATATGTCACCAGCTTTCTGAACAACTATACCGATAACGTTTTCTCCTCGTGCTGGTATATACCGTTTCTGATAGTTGTCCACCCAGAATGTATTTGGATTTTTTTTCTTTAAAATGCCCGCTTTTGTCACGTAAACATGATCGATTTCCTTCTGTAGACCCGGTCCGATTATAACCCTGGACTTTTCACCGACTGCGCGTATTTCCTCACAATAGTCGCCCGGTAAAACAACGTCACCGATAGATACTTTCATGGTTTTGATTCCACTTAGTAAGTTATTTGTTTTCTGTATTCTTTTCTGCAACAACCATGCTACTTTGTTATGAATGACATTGACATTTGACACCACAGAACACTTTTACTCAAAGAGTTTGACACAGAGCTGGATTTAGGTGCGGTACAAAAGATAGAACAAATATTTAAAAGGATAGCATAACATACTAAGTATATGACAAAAAATTATAATACACTATTATTTTCATAATTTATGCACTAAAATAAATTATTTTACTCGAAAACTCACAGAAGATTGTTATCAGTTTGAATTTTGAATAAGAATGGAACGGCCGTACATGGTTCCTGAGGGGCTCCCAAATGCCTTCAAATTCTCTTGCACAAATCCTAAACAGGGCTTTGAAAATATGCTTTGTTGCCTATCTAAGAGGTTGGAGTCTGGAGGTCCCATACAAATGTCATTATACAGCTGCTAATAAATACAGCCTGAACTGGTAATTTATAACTTATGACTAAAATTCCTACTACTGCTAATCAGGGTTGTTCCCTAAGAACCCTCAGGTTGATTTGGCACACCCTCATGTGCCTGAACATGTCTGAATCACTAATGTCGTTGTCGTGTTGATATTGTGACTTAGTAACGCGCTAACGAGTGCAATTCGAATGTTTGTTATTTACTTTATTATTTTTTATTTTTTTTAATTTTTGAAGGCCGAATGTTTTCGCGAATTTATTATTTCTGATAACAGTGTGTTTACGTTCGTAAACATAGTGTTGGAAACAAATTGTTTATGTAATAAGTTTTTCGTAAACGATAGTGCGACTTCAGTATGTTTTTGATCTTGTTATAACGCAACGGAACCACTCAATAACATTAAATTGTGATTAATTCACAATTTCAGCCTTATTCCTGCCTCTGGGTACGTACTATCGATTGTGATCCAAGCCTAACCCACCTTGTTAATCCATTTCTCGTTAGGGAGGGTTGCGAAGTTGCAGCGGATAGTCATCATTCCGTCGTCGTCGTGCACCAGCTATGATGTTTTCCCGAGTCCACGAGTTAGTTGACCGCGAACCTTTTCCACTGAAGCGATCAAAGCTGTCGTGCTAACAGCAAACTAGGTAAACTAACAAAAAAAAGCCAGGCGGATATTGGCAAATAGTGACACCCAGCTTATTCAACACACTAAGCGGTGACACTCTCCGCTAGAATTAGTATTCTATGGTGATAAAGAGGTGACAGTAACACTGACATTTGAATGTCATACCTCACGTGTGTTTGTATTTTGGATATTATTAAAGTGTTTTTAGTAAATTATAAATGCCGGCAATAATAGAAAACGATGTTCTCATATACAAAGGAAGTAATTTATTTCGTCAGAGGGTACTTCTCTCTATTCTAAGTGGTCGTGCAATTAAAATAGAAGATATCCGAAGTACTCATGACGATCCAGGCCTTCGAGAGTATGAAGTAAACTTAATACGGCTTTTTGATAAAATTACAAATGGCACAAGGGTAGAGCTAAGCGAAACCGGTACTTCAATGTATTTTCAGCCAGGCATTTTAGTTGGTGGACAAATTACGCATAATTGTTGCACTCAAAGAGGAATAGGTAAGTAATGCTGTATCTTTAACATTTTAATAGTGGCAATCTACCTAAAATAAATTATTCAAAGACTTCTGTAAGTCTAGACTTTCATAACTTCTGATTTTTAGGGTTCCATACTACAATTATTGAATTGGCACCTTCAAAGTTTACTTTTTCATTCTTTGGGATGTATTTCTCATCCACCTAAGAACAGGTTTTCTTGTTTGGATAGATAGCTGTATTTATTAGAAATAGATTTGCAATTGTTTTGTGGTCAATTTAACCGATGTAACCAGTTTTGCAATATATTTTGGTACTATAAAAATCACCCATTTGAAATTTTTTTACTGCAGGTTATTACTTAGAAGTCCTGTTAGCTGTTGGCCCGTTTTGCAAAGAGCCATTGAATGCTGTGCTACAAGGTGTGACACATCATGATCTTGATGTCTCAGTGGACAAAATAAAAGCTGCTGCTCTGCCAGTTCTCTTAAAGTTCATTTTAGTAGATGATGGCTTGGAACTTAAGGTAGTTAGGAGGGGTGAGTTGTTTATACTTTCATATATTTTGAGAGTGAGCTAGGTTTTCATTACTATTTATTTTCTTCACTAACCTTATTCAGTTTTATATATGAATGTCTCTCCATCCAACAGTCACAAGTATGAGACAGTGACAGGTGCATGCGGGTAATGTGTGTATATATTTTATACCATCACTAAGTGACTGGTTACAGCTTAAAACATTCAATTTAATATATATGAAAGCAGCAAATAAATGTATACAGTTTAAAATCAAGCACAAATGTTATGTGAAAATTATTGTCATTAAGAAACTTAGTCATATAATAATATCATTTAAATACATTTATGTATCCCATGAAAAATTGTTGGTGACATGCAGTACAGAATATACTACTATGCATATGGTCTCCCTCTATGTATGCATAGTCTACTATAACTCGGTCAATCCTAATTAAATGGTAGTTTCATATATGGGTCTTAAAAAGAAAGAAAAGGGAAATTATTTTGGTCATTGTATATGTAAAATTCCATAATAGCATTAGCATAATAGGTAAGAAAAGTTCCATATACACTTAGAATTTTTTAACCGCATTTTGAAATACTGTGATTACAATCAGCCTTTGTTTATAAAGAGAACATTTGTATGGCATAAACTAGACAAACAAACACAACATGCCCACATATTTTGTACAACCAGCACTTTTGTTACAAAAAAGCAAATGACCATTACACAAGACGAATTATCCAAACAATTTTTTTCTTATTTATTCATTTTTTGTTAAGCTATGGCTAAGTTTTATATGACCTGTTGCCTGCCTGACAACCCTCCTTGGGAATAACCAATGGCTTAGCAACTGCACTAGGGATTACTATTTACTTAATTCTCTTGCTTTCAGGTGCACCACCTCTTGGCGGTGGCGAGGTGGTCTTCCGGTGTCCAGTTCGCCGCCACCTACGACCGTTACAATGGACCCAATGGGGTCTGATAAAGAGGATACGTGGGGTAGTATACGCGTTGCGAGTGTCTCCTACGATGGCCAACAGGGTGGTAGAGTCTGCCAAAGGGGTAAGTAATGGTATTCCATTCTCTACATTACTTTTTTATGTAAGAAGATGCTGGCGGCTTCACGTAAGATTAAAAGATAACCGTCGCCCATAGGCATTTACAACAACCATAGGGTTACAAATTTGTTGCCATCTAATTATGTGGGCCCCAGTTACCTCACTCACCAGACAAAACACAGAAGTATAACACTTTCACTTCCACTTCACGCCGATTTTTTGTGCGGTCGTGGTCTTTCTCTGGACGGACCTGCCCATTACGTTTTACAGCGAAGACATGCCCTACCAAAACTAACCTTACTTAGTAATCATTTTAGTTTTGGTAGGGCATGTTTTAGTAAACCCTGATGTTTTTGCCTTCAGTCCGTAGACGATTAACACCAAATCGATCAATCGTATTAATCGTTGGTTGGGGACGGTGTGAACCCGCCCTGGATTTTTGTGATTTGAAACATCATGGTAGTAAAATCGGTTACACTATAGGACCCTAATTAGTACGTTTACTGCTCGTATACTGTATAAATTTATTGAGTTTAATTTTTTTACAATGTTAATTATTAAAATTACCGCTTTCCGAACCGGTGGTACCTTACGAACCTATACACATAATCTTTGATGTAAAATTTGATAATTCATAAGAGCGCGCAAGCGTCTATTTGAATAAATATATTTTTGATTTTGATTTAATATTAAAAAGTTGATAAAAACATAATTGGTAGTAAAATGATTTATTTTAAATTAATTGTAAACCACTCTCCTTTAAAAATTTCAACTTTATAGAGATTTATAAATCTAGATATATTATCTGTAATTACAATTATAATTAAAAAACTAAGAAAAATATATTAATTTTATTAACGAAATTTTCATTATTTTACTCTCTATTAATTTTTATTTATTATACATTTTTGAACTTGAATGTTTCACATCTGCCGGGTGTCACGTGACGGCCTTTTTTTTGTATAAGAGGTTGGTTTCGTTGGACTTTTATAGTTCAAAAAGATTTCAATGTTTTTATTTTAAAACATGGTAAAGAATTTTTTGAATAATATAAACAATACAAGAAAACCTATTTAGATAATACCGTTATTCCACAGGTTATGCTAAAATTCCTCCCCGATGTATACATAAACACAGACCAGTGCAGGGGTCCAAATGCCGGCAAGAGTCCAGGTTTCGGTGTCAGTCTGGTGGCAGAGACGAACGAGAAGACTTTCTACTGTGCAGAAGCTGTAAGTGTTTTCCAATATAGTATAAGGCCACCACTGATGTCATTGTTAATGTAAAGAGAACTTTCATGTTTGGTATAATACTGCTTCATATCAAATATTCAACCCTCCCTTTTTTGGATAGGTACAGGTACAGGTATAGGCGCTGTCCATTCCACGCATTTCATGTCGGCAGTGTAGTCGGAGGTGACTAAGGGAAAAAGCATATAGCGCTGAGATTTCAGATCCTACCAGCAAGCAATTATCATCATTATCAAACGACTACAAACAGTGGACTCAAATCAGTTTCATTGTTTGAGTCCACTGCTTGCAGGTTTTCCCCACAGACTGCCACTAAGCACGACTCTGAGCCACATGCATCCATTCCTTCCTGTACACTTGCACAGACCGGCACTCCATTTAGTGGGCGGTCGTCCTACACTACGATGACCAATACGCGGCTGCCTCTCGAGAACCTTTCTTTCCCGTCAGTCATCGATCCCCACCCAATGACGAATACAATTTGAGCACGGCCCCCAAACCCCGGCGATTATGCTATCGATGGACTTGGTAGGTATCCCCGGTAGGAAAGGTAATGATGGAGCGGAATGCGTTAAGAATCTCCGGCAGGTACCACGCAAGCCATGCCGACGCTTAACGTTCGCACGCTCAAGTCTGCCGAAAGGTTTATCGAGCTGCCGGATTACTTAAGCAACTTGAGGTGATGTAACATGTACCATGAGATTTATTCCACGAGAAGGAACGGGATACGGTAATCCTGGATTCCTGTACCATGCTCTTCTTCCGGGAAGGAGAACGTATCCCGGCGTACTGTTGGGTACCTCGTCCGCTAGTCCCACATTATTGGGCTCCGGCTACCTCACTCATCAGACGAAATGCGAAAGTATTATACTTCCACTTGACGCCGGTCTTCTGTGAGGTCGTGGTACTTACCCGGACGAGCCAGCCCATTCGTGCAACAGCCGAGGCTGATGTGTGGCCCTACCACAATTATAGTAATAAGGTCGACATTCGGTCGAACAAGTTGGCATACCTTATACTCAGAATCACAGTTTGGATTTGCTGAAGGTCATGATATATGCACTGTCCTCGACACATCCCGATGATGAGGTAGAGGTTCTGTATGATAGATATGGAGATATTTGCAGCCCTAAAATTACTTCATCGGTTTTATGTGAGCCAACGCACAAAAAGGCTGAGAGTGGTGGCATTCTGACATGGGCAGCGGATTCAGAGTGGACAGAGGCTAGTCAATATCATGCAGGATGAGGGATCCACATGATGAACTCCCCATCGAAGCGGTTAGCGATGGTTAACCGTTTGTCAGATTGAATATGTTACATAGTTTGTTATGCTTGATGATTCGTCGTCGAACGTCCTTGTAGATTCAGAGTCACACAACGAGCTATGGAAATAGTTCTTTGGGAGTAAGAAAGACCTGTGCTTTGCATGATAAAATCTGAAACAACGAAATTCGCCGAAGAACTAGTCACCGTGAGAAGTTGGCAGGCCACATCGCTCACGGATGAACAAACCAGGGGAAGGAATGTTCTCGAGTGGCTACTATGTTTGCGCTCAACCCTCGGGGTGGACCCACAATATCGTAAGAGTGGCGGGCAACTGGCGGATGCTAATGGCAAAGTTTCGTTCATTGTGACGTTCTAAGGATGCTCAACAGTGGACGTCTTCGTGCTTACGATGCTGATAAGAAACTGAGTGTGAAAATTATGTGCATATTAGTTTTTGGTTTGGTAAATTATCCCATAACTCAGTTGCACAAATAAAATTAATAAAAATATCACTTATTTTATTTCTTAAGCCTAATGGAAAATTAAAAAATAAAAACAAAGTGTGTAACTAAACCTTTCATTTCAGAAATCACTAGAGCCTGGTAGTGGAGAAATATCTTTGCCAGAGGATGTTGGAAAAGAATGTGCACTGAAATTGTTGGACGAGGTGTACCGTGGTGGTTCAGTGGACTCCTCTTTTCAATGGCTGTTAGCGCTTTGGATGGCGTTAGGGCAAAAAGATGTCAGCGAATGTATAGTAAGTTTATATAGACTAACCGTAGCTCCGAAGCCCATTAGTTGATATATTAAGTAAGTGCTCCAGATTAGATATCGAATTTCTACTGCTTATCCAGAAGTCTTCGCAACTATTATTACTTTTTAGACTAGTTTTACTTTGGTAGGACCTCGTAGCAGCCTCCTCTATTGCATGAATGGGCAGGCTCGTCCGGGTAAGTACCAAGATAAGACCGGCGTAAAGTGGAAGTTTAATACTTTCGCGTTTCATCTGGTGAGTGAGGTAGCCGGAGCCCAATTTTCAAACGCTTGTCAACGCATCTGCAACCCTCGGCTGTAGCAGATGTCCACGGGCGGCGGTATTCACTTAACATCGGGTGAACCGCCTGCTCGCTTGGCAACTTGTCACATAAAAAAAATATTTGTCAGGCATAGGATTTCTAAGTAATTTAATTGTATTGGTTTACGCTGTTGTGAAGCAACTTTTATGTTATAATCTATAGAAAGCAAGTAGTAACACTGCTGGCAATATTCTCCCAACTTACTTGTCTGTTGTTCAGTTAAAATCGATGTAATAATTTCCTTTAATCCAGCATACAGGCTATCTCCATTTCAAATGTTTATCCCTATTTCTACCAACAATTACATTCAATATTTTCACCAGGTGGGGCCCTTATCGGATTATACTATAAGCTTCTTGCAACACCTCAAGGAGTTCTTTGGGGTGATGTTCAAACTGGAAGTGATCAGATCAGAATCGGACGACGAGGTGTCCGATGATGAAGAGCAACACGTTACGAAGGCGCAAAAGGTGAAAATGACCTGTGTTGGTATAGGATATGTTAATATCAGCAAGAGGACCTTATAATAAATTCTTGAATATAGATTATTGCGTTTTCTTTTGATTGCGACCCGATTGAACCTACCTCTTGCAGTTCTTGGTTCAAATTCAAATATCTTTATACAATATTGAAGTATTACACGATAATGATTCTATCTATTGAATAGAAGCGTGCAAGCTAATTGAACACTGGGGATTACCTCAAAAATAATCGCAGTAAACAAGTAACATGTAAATACGTAAAAAGAAATGTGTAAGTCTTTTTGTCTAAGACTAAAGAGAACATAAGTCAGAACTAATAATACAATATAATTATTAGGCACAGAAATTCACACAAGAAAATATTCATTAGGTAATTTTTACAAATTAATGATGAGCCAACATCCTCCTTAAGTCCACAAATTACCGTTAAAATACTAAATAAAAAAAGAGATTGAGTATTGTTTCGTTTATTTCTAATCACGTAAAATATATCTTAAACTACAAAATTTATAATAATTAAGGCACATTTTGAAATAGGTTTCCTTTTTTTATCTTTACATGCCTATTTTCAGTACAAGTGTAACTAGTGGTTCAATAAAACTAAGTGAAAATAAAAATGTACATTGAAAAATATTTATGTGCCAGTCGTATTGTAACTTATTAACGTATTCCTATTTCTCGAAAAGTACAAAAATACAAAAGTATAAAGAAATGTAACATAGTAGTAGGATATTGAGTAAGAAAAAATATTCTATAATAGTTCACTTAGCGCAAAGGTGTATATATCGGCAGCGGTGATAACATTTAAAATAAATTAAAAAATCAATCATCTAGTTAAGATTCAATGTTGCATTTTTTCCCCACAAAATTTTTGGTAGAACCTATGACATCATGTTCTTGATATGTAAATATTTTCTATATGCAAAAAATTGTTAAGCAAATAAATGGTCCAAGTTCAATTAACTTTCTTGAATTTTACCATCATTCAGAAGTTGAAACTAGGTTTGCATAAGTTTCTATTAAAGTTTTTGATTAATCATTAGTTACATAATATCACAATAGATTCTCGTAAAGTAACAATTATTTTTTAAAAAAAATTATTCTCTTATTACATGCTTTAATTTAAAAAAATAGCTTGTCAAATGAAAATCACTTAAATTTTTTTATAAGGCAATTTAAGATGACAGCTGTCACTTGAAAGTGGACTCATTAAAAATTCTAGGAGAGAAACTTTACGAGTCTTGCTCTTGACATCCTAGCCCTGCAGACCAGTTGCAAATGCCGCCAACCGGGTCGAAAGATAGTCCTTTGGGGCAGACGTACTCCCAGCCGAGTAGAGAGCCGCCCTCCATGCGCGCGCACGATATGAATTTCTTGCACGACGACGGGTGTGGGAAGTTGCCTATGTCCAAACACTCGATTCTTCCTAAAATTAAAAAAAGGGTAAAAGGTTTGGTATTACCAAACGAGATGTTTCGATAGCCCGAGCTGTTTCATTTATTACTATTTTTTTTATGTGATTATTGATATTGTGATATTAATAATATTTCATTTTTGTTTTTGCTTGGGAAAAATAAACATTTGCTCGTAAAGAAATGAGATTTACATTTTAATCATATTTAATGGTGCTAAAAATTCCTTTTTTAACAGACTGCTGTATACAGAACCGCATGATCAACTATTTAGTTTACGTAGTCCACGCAGGTTATTTTTTCCAATTTATGACACTATCGAAATCGGTTAATAGTTACTGAGTAAAATCAGTTTGGGGACATAATAAACAAAAAAGTAATAAGCATGGTGTAATAGCCATTGCGGCGAACTAACCTTTCCCGTGGAGTATAACCTTAGTTCCTTCCTCGTATTTTTGGACAACCTTTTCTTGGCTATCATCATAATAGTCAAAGGCATCTATTGGCCTTATAACTTTGTTGGTCTCAGAAGTTTGGACCTTTTTGACTGGCTTCACTCTCTGCACCGGCTGCCTTTGCGTCAGTTGAACTTTAGTCTCGGGCTGCTCTTGTTTCACTTCCTTTTCTTCTTCTAGTTGTGTTGTTTTCTTTGATCCCTTTTGAACCTTCACTTTCTGAACTTTACGGATCTTCTCGAAAGGCTTCCTCGACGATCGCCGCGGTGTCGGCGTTGTTGTCGTCGTGGTCGAACTCGCCTGGGCCGTTGTCGAAATTCTGCGGAAGACCATTTTCTTCCTGGCCAATTTCCTGGTGGTTGACGTCGGCTGTGTTGACGTCACCGGCGATAGATACTGATATTCATCTGCAAGAGTTATAATTTAAAAATACTGTACTCTTATAATATGTTATCTTAACTGTTTGTGTAGCCGTAGATATTATTTCAACTACATCTCTCTGAAGACACATTTTTGCAGAGTGTGTTTGAGTTTCCAATCATTAATATCTAATACCTTAAAACGAGCAATTCTTCTATATATATAATCGCCGATTTATATAATCGGAATCTGGGAAACGGCTCCAGCGATTTTCATGAAATTTAGTATGTGCGTAGATTCGGGGACGAAAAATCGATCTAGCTAGGTTTCATTTTTAGAAAACGTCCTATTATCCCTGCTTTCAGTGAATGAAAAATATTATTCGAATATGACGGTAAATTTCGTGGAAAAAAAATGTTTTAATAGCTCGGTCGGTAATCGGGCGGCCCCGAAACAGAAGGCCGCGGTTCGTGTCACGATCATTTACACACTTATTTTTGTTACTTTTTTTTCTATACCAGATCATTGCTTTATTTATTTTTTTTTATTTCCAAAATTCACGATTTACCAAAAAAAAAATTAAATAAAATAAATAATTGGTAATTGGATAAATTTTATATTTAATTGCTAACGTATTTTCCTTTGAAATCGAGGTAACTAAATATATTATATTCATTAAATAAATAATTATTTGTAAGAATACAAAAATATACTTACCATCGTACGTTTTCGTTACTGGCGAGGCGAGGAGATATTCCCTGGTGAAATACGAAGGCTCTTGGCTTTGGCTGTACCCAGTGGTGGAGAAGCTATAATCATCTATAGGGCCCGAGACGTATTTCCCCGTCGTGCTTGGGAACTTGATGGACGGACTTTCACTCGTTGATCTATCTTCCGTGCTCAAATATTTAACAGTGGACGGGCTAAGATCCCGAACAATGCCCGTATATTGACCGTTCTGGTTCAAATAGCGATCTGTGGTCACTTCGTCGTCCGCTAACACCAGTTGCTTTTCAGTCGACTCTAGGTATGTACTAGTAGATGGATTTCTGGCACGAGATATGTCAGCGTATTTTCTACCGGTTGTATAAGTTTCGATGAGCTGCGGCGTTTCGGTTGATTTGTCATCCGATTCAGTGTATCCGATATTGCGGACAGTTGACGATCTCAATGTAGGCGAGGTCTCGACGAAAGGTTCGTTTACGCCTGTGAATCCTGTGGTCGGGCCGGCCTGCGATATCTCTGAGGTTTCGCCGCCCGTCGCGTCGTCGTATCTAGACGTCGATGGCCTAGCCCTGCGACGTGGTGGGTACGTCTCGCTCGTGGCCGTAAACCCATAGTCCGGTGTCGACTCCGTCGTGTACTCGGTGCTAGTATAGGTGTTGGTTGACGGTCTTCTCCTGCGCGACGGAATAGTCCTTTCAGTCGTACTTGGCGTCGACTCGGTTGGAATTACTCTTTCCGTCGTCGTTTCTGTGTAGAAATTTGTCGAAGGCCTTCTACGCCGCGAGGCTTCCGTATATCTTTCGTTCGCCGTGTAATCGACGGTTGGGCTTGTATTCTGCACGGCACCTGTGGTGTATTTTTCGCTTTCGATAACTGTTGTCGTAGATGGTTTCCTTCTTCGCGAAATAGAAGTATATTTGTCGTTTGCGTCGGTATACTTGTTCGTGGTTCTCGCATTTTGCAGTGTTGTATAACTTTCGCCTCTGTCTGTGAATATGTTTGCCGGCGCTCTGGTATTTGCAGGTTCCGAGTATATCTCAGCCGTTCCTGAGAAAGTACTCGTGGGAATTTCTTCTTGCGGTATTCTCGTATACTTGCTGCCTTCTGTAAAATAGGATGCGGTGGAAGGATTTGTTCCAAGTGGTTCTTCGGTATACCTTTCGCTCGTCACGGTGAATCTGTTAGTTGGGTTTAAATTTTGAGCTGTTTCGGTATATCTATTATCTAAATATTCTTCAGTAGATGGACCAGGCGTCTGGTATGTTTTTGTTTCATCACCGCTATCTATATATTTATTTGTTACACTTGGATTTTGCAATATCCCAGTAAATCCGTTGTTTGAGTCCAAGTACCTAGTCGTCGAAGGGCCTGTTGATCGGGAAATTTCAGAGTATTTCTTACTTGTGTCCACTAATATGTCAGAGGATGAGAGTGTGCTTGACGTATACTCATTTAAGTTCGATTCGGTTGTTGTCGGTCTTCTACCACGAGTTCTAGTGGTAGGGCTCAGTGTTTGAGTCGTCTCACTCGTGTCTACATATCTGTTTGTCGGAGTTAGGTCATACGACACACCGGAGTACTTGTCCACCGTGCTCACATATTGTATTGTAGATGGAGGAGCCTTTGAATACTCACTGGAGTCAGTATATCTGTTATCTGTCGGATTGATGTTGTGCGTAGCTACGTTCTCGTCAGTTGTACTCAGATAGCGAACTGTAGAGGGACCTAGATCTCGGGAAACACCCGATAGGCCCGGATTAATTATAGTTGGCGCCGTGAATCCCGCGGGCTTCGACGTTCTGAAGCCAATGGTTGAAGGTAGGACCGTGTCTATAAGATTACTGGGATAGCCACCCGTGGACGTTTGGACGTAATCACGAGTACTGTAACTTGGTGTTGCGGAGTAAGCTACTGGGTAGGATGGTGTCTTTGTGACCTCTCGTGGATAATCGGTGTCTGTGTACTTGAACTTCTGAGTGCTCCTCGAGGGTGCACTTCGTGTCGGCTTGGCGTCATATTCATAATCTGGTATTATAGGTACAGGCGCTTCTAACAGTTTATGCGCTGCAAGTGCCACGGCTGTTTCAGCACTGTAGCCTGTGAAGGGAAAACGTGTGAAAATGTTAGTGAAAGCAGTGTTGCAATCATAAATAATAGATTTTATTTCTCTCAAGATGCTTAAAGGCCTGTAGGGCTGTTACAATATTACCTATTTTTCTTACTGTAATATTTATAAATTACTTACCCTCAATTGTGAATTTTCCTTCTGTAGTGGGATCAACATCCACGTCGTATGCATCCTGAGTTTTTAACCTTAGCGCTTCGTCGAGCTGATTCTGTTTGAAAGTGGAGCTGTATTTCTTGCTCTGTCGTTTTTTCTCCTCTTCATTCGTGGCAGCTATGTTCTGGTCTTGTTCGTCTTTCAAGGAGACCAGCGGGCGTCTTTGGACTTTCGAGTTATCCTTTGGGCTGGAGCGCGGGGCGTACGATGGATCTTCAATAGAGCCTAAACGAAATCAATCAAATCAATTTTGACACCTGGATCCAGCGTATAACACGAACGCCTTGAGTTTCAATATTTATCAAGAATATTTTCAGCGAAACATTTTTTATTTTAAAATAATGTGAAGGATAATTAATATATTCGGCAGTTTTTACGGGTTTTCCTCTGGACTGGTCTATGTCTGCAAGTTTGTGGATTATGGCGTGCCAAAAGTCGCATTTTAAGAAGAATGATTTGACATTGAGTTTAATATTATTGTCCCCTCACAAGGTTACTTATATCATAATAAAAATAAGCTTTTTTATGTGAAAAGTTGCCAAGGGAGCAGGCGGTTCACGTGATGTTAAGTGAATACCGCCGCCCATGGACATCAGCTACACCCGAGGATGCGTTGACACCTTTTGAAAATTGGGCTCTTTCTACCTCACTCACCAGACGAAACGCGAAAGTATACTTCCACTTCGTCTTTTGTGTGTTTGTGGTTCTTACCCGGACGAGCCTGCTCATTCCGAAGCTGCTGCGTGGCTTCACCACATTTAATATGTTATTCTTACCATTCTCTTCGATGTCCTTTAAAAATTCTTCGCTTTCTACGAATTCTGTGGTAGGCTGGGTAGTTGTTGTAGTGGTGGTGGAAGTGGTTTTAGTGGTGGCGACTGGACGGCGCCGGCTGGCTATACGGAATGGTCTTCGGGTTATCGTCGCAACCGTTGTTGATGGTACCGATCTAGTTGTTGCTGCCGGGTAAAGCATTTAGAAGAATTAAAATCTCGAAGATATGGCAAAAATATTAGCTATTCATTTATACTTCAAAGTTGTTAAAAGTGTGTCCCGCAAAATTAACGACTGGATTTCCCTAATGGGTAGAGACTGCATTTTCCGCCACATGGTGTGGGTTCGATCCACACTCCTGGAAAAATATTATGTGATGAACATAGTGTTCTTCCAGTGTCTGGGTGTTTATATATGTATAATATGTATTTATTTATATAAGAAAAATATGTTTAAGTATGTTCATCTAGTACCCATAGTACACGCATTGCTTACTTTGGGACTAGAAAACGTTGTGTGAAAATGTGACCTGCAATATTTAATTTTTTTTAAATTCAATCTACCTCATTATATTTAAATTTAACCTTTAATTCGAATTAGATTTAAGTTCATCTCAAATTTTTCGTTATGTCATTAACAATTTATTCGTATGCTTTAAAAGTTGGCATGGATAATGAGGTGCCAAGGCTTCTCTGTAAATACACTAATTTATATCATATTGACTCTATAGTCAAACTAGCTTATAACCCGTAACTTCGTCTGCTTTGCTTATATTTTATATTATTTTAATAATTACATCGCTTGCCTCACTTTGTAGAATATATTATATACTCATAAAAAATATTGTTTCTGAAAACTTTAACAACTTTACATTACAAGAACAACAACTTTACATTACAGTTAAATGAAAATATCAAAATATTTTTTTTAGATAAGGGTGTGATAGTGTCTACAAGTGTTAATTGAAATATATCCTGTAGTTTTTCCGTGATACGTGCACAACGGCAGACCTCTATCATTTTATTTTTATAGAAGATGCATATTATTCGACATTGACATTTAGAATAATGGCGGGAAGCTGTAATTGTAGTTAAAAATGTTATTAAACTAATTATTAAACTTAATATAAAATTAACGAGTACAATGATGATAGAGGATAATTTTACAAATTAGTGAATGAAGTAAGCCTTAGCAACCATAAAATAGTTTGTTTATGCACGAACAGTGTAAAATTAAATCTGCGTAAATTACTAACGTAATATAATGGTCACAGCGAGAATAATTGTCAAGGTAACAAATGCGTTAGCTGGTACGTTTACATTTACTAGAAAGCAATAGGTGACTCAGTGTCTATTTACATAAAAACTATGTCAATTATTCTTTACACGCGATAAAGGATTCAAGGTAATGCGGTCGTTTCTAACACATTGTTATGTTACGTGACAACTGTGTGGTCCAGTGATCTGAGTACCATGTATAAGAAATATAGAATCCTAGATTTATTGTAGGTTTCGCAACGTGTAATGCGATAACGTTTGACGATGTTTTTATTTGAATTAGCACTTGCACACATGAATTCATTATTAAGGTTCCGTGCGCAAAGGGTAAAACGAGACTATTACTAAGACTTCGCTGTCTGTCCGTCTGTCACCAGGTATCTCGTCGACCGTGATAGACCGTGATAGATAGAGATAGTCGGAATTTTCACAGATAATGTATTTGTGTTGCCGCTATAATAACAAATAGTAAAAAATCTTTTAGTTGGGCTTCCATACAACAGACATGATTTTTTGCCGTTTTTATGAATCATGGTACAGAACCCTTTGTGCGCTAGTCCGACTCGTACTTGGCCAGTTTTTTTTAATATCACACGATGACAAGCATAGTGCACAGTTTTATGGGACAAACGCAGGTCCGTGTAATCTTATGGCGACTATCCATTACCTATGTCCTTAGTTTGAACATTTTAGTATAAAATGCGACCGACAAAAAGAGCAAAAGTGACCAATGAATATAATGTGGCGATGGTTGTTAATGAATATGATAGTGAAATTATTAGCTATCAGTGCCATGACTGTGCTTTCGAGAATGAGAATGAAAGAATGTAGTTGCTTATAAGAGTCCAGAGTCCCACTGAGTAACCTGCATCTGTCGAAGTGCTAGTGGGAAAAACAGACTTTATCTAGTCCAGTGAGTACTCTGAAGTGCATTACTGTGCGGCGAATATCTTAAACGGTTGTTACACAATTGCACATCCTGGAAATCGCCTACACTGCAACCACCCAGCTATGACATTCCATTCTCAAGGGATTGCTTATTCCGTGCTACGTGCCGTCGCCCGTAATCCCACGGATACGAAGTGGTTGCGCAACACAGGTGTTGGACACCGGGACCGTCCGGAGCATCGCAGCGAGCGTCACTTTTGTCTCTCACATCGAGCAATTGTCACCTCCCTTAGAAATGTAGTTAACTTGTAATTTTTATATAATAAAATAAGTAGTTTTAAGTTTAACTTTGCACTTTTTTTGCATCCTCCGGCCGTAGCCGACGTAATTCGGTAACAAACCGAGTACATCAACACCGATTTATTTAACCGAAGTTAAAATGCATTTTTATAAAATACCGTTCTTTTATAATACTTTCTAATCAAATAATTCAGGTTAAGTAATACTTACATCGAAGTTCGCACATGAAATATTGTAATGTAATTTATAAAAAAATATTCTTCGGGTTATTTTGAGCTAAGCCCTTTAGCTTAATGGTTAACGCGTCAGGCCGCGAATGCCGAAGACGTGGGTTCGATTCCCACAGCGGCGGCAATCTTTTCGTACTTTTTCTACGTTTTTTAAAGTTCAATCTTAACTGCAAAGATTAGGACTATAAACAATTTAAATACATATAGTATGTATTTATATGTTATATTAATAAAGTGAGCAATAAAATATCAGTAACGTTATAAAGAATAATTTAAAATATTTCCCAACACTAGTCAAATATCCTGCTCATGGCGGATTCAAGGCAATAACAATAAAATAATCTTTGTGACGCGTAGTACGAGTAAGCTGGTGGTGAAATCGTCGAAGAAAGTCGATATTGAAAAAGCATCACTTAACGCGTCTCGTCGGCCACGGGACACGTTAAGGTAACACGATTACTCTTCGCCTCCTCGATCTATCTATCGCGTTGTAACTTTCCTTATTCTAAGTACCCGTTTACGCTGAGAGAGTTGAATCTGTAAACCGGTCTCATCTGAACAGAATGTTAAGTTAGAAAACCGCCTGAAAACGTCACGTGAAAAAGCGTGCGAGGAACCCTCCATGCGAGTGGGAATCGATGGTAGAGCCAATTAGGGTAGAGTAGAAGAAGTTTCAAAAACAAGAGTGGAATAAGTAAGTAGAGTCTGAAGCATGAGTAAAGAATGTAGATGTAACATCTTAAGAATGCTTGATTAGTATTTCACTGATTAAAGTTGTTTGTCCCTTACATTGTGACGTTGTAATCCTCAGTAGTTAGAACTAGAAAAAATGATGCCGGGATTTGTGGGTTGTTGTACCAAATTTTGCAATGAATTTCCGTTATTCGGATCATATTCTTCCTCCATATCGTCGTCGTCAAAAGATATTTTGTGATATATCTTTTGTCCCTTTCCGATAATCTGTAGTCCCGCCGAAAGTATAGTAGGTTCAACAGGTAGTCTATTTTATATAGAATATTATCTTTTTATTAAGTGAATAGTAACGGGTAAGTTACTGCTTTACCCGTTTTAATTAAAATACGTAATTAAATCACGATGTATCAGGTTTATTTAGCAATGATTTTCTAGTGTATGCGACGGCGAAGGCGACCGAGGATTCATCAAACTGTGATTTGTGCTGTGGTAGATATCCCTTCCTTATTTAGTTAAAAGATGCAAAAGATATATGCTGGGTAAAGAGCTCCTCTGTACTCAGGTTGCTAAAGTTTATACACTTAAATTCGAGCCCCCGTACATCGAGCTATCACGGCTCTCGAAAAGATGCAAGAGCTTGTGTTTTTAATATTCGTCTAAACGACTTTCAATATAAGATAGGTTTTTGTTCGGTCTGCAACGCAACCTCACTGTTAAATCACGCCTATTGGTGACTACTCGTAGGGTCTTAAAAAGCCTGAAGAAGGAGCGGGCATAGACATCTCTACGGAATCTATGTTCGATGAAGCTTTACTTATTCCTTTAGACTGAAAGCAAAATCAAACACTACAGAGACTGGTGTTTCCTGAATTATGTGGTAGTTATGACTCGCCGTCGGCGACTGCCCGCCACTTACTTCTATGGAAATGCCTGAGCTTGTCTATTATTAATCATCTGTTGCTATTAACGCTTGCGACATTACGCTAAATGAGCATCGTTTCGACACCACCACGAGGCAGCGCGACAAACAGACAAAAGCAGCTACCGTACCCAACTACTTTAGTACATGGTTTAGTTTCCCACGACACCGTTTAGTTTTGTAACGGTGCAACGCTCGAGTCTATATGTAACGAACGGGACGGGATAAAGAATCCTTGTTGTATGTCAGTTGTATTTACAACTGGCGACAGCTACCGCTCTTGTATGCACAAATCCGCTCTTTAAAGGAGTAGAAAAATTGCGAACTCCATTGTTACTAAAAATATGTTACATATATAAAGTTTCAAAGTGACGGGTATATGAGGGGTACTAGTTTGTCGTCATAGCAATGAAACAATAGCACGCCTGGGATATTTTCTTGTAAGGAATAAAAAATTGAAGCCTTTTTAATTTTACTTTTTCCCGGAAACAAGCATCCACAAACATTTCACTCAAAATACAAATAGTATAATAAAAAATAATACACTAGAACTACAATATACTATAGCAGTACGAGTTAGAACTCAGCCGGCATGAGTAGTGTAATTAAATTGTTAAATGCAATTTTTACTACTGATTCATCAGTGCTTATCGGAGAAATGAAATATTATATTTATATAAAACCTGTATGTTTAACAAATAAAAAAAATATCAAAGAAATGTGAAGTTTACCGATCCGCGGTGGGGTTTGGCCTTTGCCTAGAAGTGGGACGTATACGTCCCTTACAAACTTCCACGGTTAAAGTCCAAAACGCTGGATAAAGTAGAGTATACATTTTATATTTCCCTTAACTATATCATGATTTTATTCGTAAAAAACCACGAGGCTCAACTCGGTGAAATTTGTATAGTTTGTCGTTCTCAAAAATAAATAGAGATTCTCATAACTTTTGCTAGCCGACAGGTGTCATTATCTAATATTACATAAATGATGAAAGTCCAGCACGCTTGGCCGCCGGCTTTCACCGCGCCTTCGCTAAGATGCCCACTGCCCAAGGCCTCCCACAATCACTAAGAACGCGTCTTCATCCGTAACGGGGTCGGCAGAGAGTTAGTGTAAATAATTGTCAACTGACATAAGGATAAAGAAGTTGTCTCTCTACGATACTTTAGTACAATTGAGGAAAATTTGTGTGTAATTATTTATGTAAATAAATTTAAACATGGGATTGAACGGCCTCTTAGAAATTTTTAGGTAGACAACATAAAAGCCAGTCTTACTTTACCTACCTTTATTCCAAAAAGCGAAATGTTGAGAGTTCCTTTTGGAAGTCACTTTAGGATGGTTGTAAGTAAAAAGTAATTATTAATTAATAATAATTATTAAAGTTTATGATAAACTGTATTTAATTATTGCATCTTTCTTTCTCATTATTAAGGATATGAAGCCGTTTCTGGCTATTTCTGGTTCGAATTGTTCTTAAAATAACATTTAAAACTGCGATGGAGATTTGTACTTTTAAATTGTTTTTGTAGCAGCATCAAATTTATAAACTATATATAAATACTTAATATACAGTCTATATAACTCCTAAGGTATATAACTCCTATAATATAGGTATTTAAAAGCAATAAAAGTATAGACTCTATACAGTTTATATTTCCGTTCGAGTACTGAGTACCTTAGTACTTTTTAATAGGTGTGATGTTTCTTTCAACCGCAACAAACATTTATGTTTATTCATAGAGAAAGCTAGGGTCATTTCACTAGTGCCTCATTAGTAACGCTAGAATGGTTAGCGACCGTGAAACCTGTCATTGTCGATATCTGTTCTACTATTTGGCCTCGTTGTTTTATTTATTGAACGTGGTGCAACACAGATTATAATCTGTATTGATGATTATAGATAAAAAATCACGCAGTTTACAATGGATTTAACAAATAAAGTTATATTTAACGTCTGTGACGTGTAGGTAATTTAATTAATTTTAATAATATTACATGCTGATAACGCTTGATTGACACCTGCCTTATATTTAGTTTTAGATTTTGTTATAGTTTCTAGATTTTGTTTTTTTTTTCAAAATGATTGATGATTTTTAAAACTGGTCAGCACCTTACTGCCATCCCACCTGATGGTAAGTGGCGATGCAGCCATGTGTACAGAATCCAAGAACACTATTAGGCGATTCGCATGCATGCTTTTCACCTCTCTCATAAAAAAGATACATTGAGGGAGAGCGACGTAAAATGTACCCAATGGGACACCTTCATAAAGTGCAAAGGGAAATTTGTAATCCATGACTAATTCTCCAATTGACAGTAGTGAGTGTTAATATTTGGGCGAATCTCTTTACACCACATTATTTCTTTTTACACAATTGTAATGCTATAAGTGTTGATACGATACAGATCTTGACACAGAATGAAGATTTGATTGCAACTCGACATTCATGGTCATTTCGAGGGTTCCCGCTAAGTGCGCTGCAAACAATGGGGATCGTTTGCCGCTCCGTCAATTATCGCCATTTTGTTTCGCAAAATGCATCCGCGCCGACCGATAGCGTCGTCCCGTCCAATTTATTTACTAGTTTTGGATTGTTTATTTGAAATTCTTAATAATGGAGTCAATGCCCGGAACGTATTGCAAATCTTTTGTTTCCTATCACTAAACGATAAAAATCATCTGAACAAAGACATTTTCATAACAACTTTTGTAATTTTTCTATAAGAAACGGTCGCGAACGTGCGGGAATCCCAATTTCTAATAAAAGTATAGGAACGTTAGAGGAAAATACGAAAAATAACATATTAGAGCACAAATGAACATAAATTAATAAATAACAACACAACATTACACAGAATTATAGTTTTTATCGGCCTTATTGTCAAATAATACAGAGCAATAATTGGTACAAGCCCATAGGATAACAACTCGCGAACTCATGGATCGTCACTGAATGACACGATTTACTTTTAGTAGAAATATAAAATAGGAAAAACATTTAGTTGTAATACGTTAAGCCTATTATAGTCAATATCCGCGTCGAAATTAACTGTTCTGATTTTTGAGATAAAAACAAGAAAAGCGGCAATTCGGCCGAACTACTGCCATAGATTCCATAATATAGCGTTTCATCATTGTTACAACGCAACATATAATTCAAATGTTATACAATGCCATTGTTCGGTATTTATATGTTCCACAAAGGCATAAGCGATGTGGGCGACTTTTTTTTTGTTTTAACAAACGACAACTCCAAGGTAATTGTGTAATCTGTGGCATTCGTGCGTTTCTTTGGTCCATTTTTTAAATTCTCTATGGTTTCGCTGATGTATGTACTTAGAAAATATTGAATTGTTTGACTCTACATATTTGCTTATTGAAACGTTCATTTCAATCTATCACTAGCTGTAATGGACGTTTTATTCAAAAATAATTAGAATGTATCACCATAAAACATAATTAAGATAACGTTCTAATATAATATAAAATAATATAAGATAAAATAAAGTTCTAAGATACACGTAAGAGTTTCCTTGGAAATCGAAGCTAACTAAAACTGCCCAAAACTAATTTTTTTGGACGTTAATGGTAGCACTCTGAGAATTGAATTAACTCTCAGAGCCTTTATGGCAGAATTTTAAGTGAGAAATTATTTACGTGGACCCACTGGTCATATGTTATAGGCAATATAGTAATCGTATAATCAGACTTTTTGTATTATGTTATCTGTTGCCAAAGTGAAATAGCAAAATAAATTTAGTAACGGTTAGAAAGTACCTAAATCGTAGATTAGCGATGTCTAAGGTAGTTTATCATCTTCAAACTCGCTTTACCTGACCGGGAGAACAGGTCCTATCCATGTTAGGCGGATGGGCCGGTTTTCTTCTTTTCTCCGCGAAGAAACTTAGAAATTAAGAAAGTATAGGCAATGATAGATCATAAAGTTTCTTTAGCAGTATTTCAATAAAGCAACTACTATTAAATGAAGCAGAATTTATTTAATCATTAAACTTTTTTAATGTGTCTGCCTTAAAAGAATTATCTTCATAATGGGTCAATGCTTTAATATCTCTGATAAGACTACTGTAGTGGGTATGCCCTAATTGAAAAGTCTGGTACAAACAAACACGGTGTTATTCATAAAATCAAACGTTCAAATGAACTTAAGTTCGCATAACGTGGTGAACTAGTTAATTTTCGTAAAAAAAAGTAAAATATCATTCTATAAATGTACACTGCTAGGTAAAAGCCTCCTCTGTTCAGGTCATAATCCACCCCACTGCGATTTGGCTGTCTTCACCTATTTTAGAAATACTTATTTTTTTATTATTATTTCGTAAATTTATTAATTTAAATTATTTCGATCTCAATAGGCACCAAAAAATCATCACACGTATCGTAATTAAACGACTCGATACGGCTGCGGCTGCGAAAAGTCAAATATCTGTGAAATTGGCTCGTCTAACGCAACCGAGATATTGCAAGAACTCCGATACATGTAATTTATTGTAGACAGCGAACGTGCTCGCGTGAGAATTCGATATTACCGGGTATCGGTCCATGGCTTGAGGTTTGAATCGAATGACGCATGAATAATTTGTCGTTAATAAGCGCGGGAAAACTTCACAGATGATAAACAACTCGCTAATCGAAAAATATTACGCATTTTATCTTCTTTAATATCTTTTTTGCCGGAAATGTAAGTTTTGAAAAATGTTAATAATTATAAAAATTTATTGTAAAATTTTGAGCGAAATTTTGAAATATGTGTAAGAAAATTATATTTCACAAAGATTAACACAATTAATGATAAGTAAAATTTTATTTGAGAATAGTTTGCATTTAATTTATAAAACTAGTCGTAACCGACCTTCTTCGGGGTCTATGATTCTTCTTTAAAAAAAAAAAACCTAAATTCCATCTCCCTGGACACGTGTATTTAATGTGACGCTCTAATGTTAATGAGTAACAATGAAATAATTATAATATGAGAAACATTTGAGTCGTGTGTCACGTGAATCATTGAGTCTGTGAGTTCACATTGTCACGGTCACAATAGTCGGTAAGATAAAATTCCGCATTTAATCCTGTACCAAATTCATAAAATGAACCATCTCATATGATTCGATTTGCAATGATGATTTTATTTTCATCAGCGTTGAGCAATCTATTCCGTGGTTTACGGAATGGGCGAATTTTACATTTCTTGAATGGGATAAACGCAAGAAACAAAAAAAATGCATAACATTACGGTCTGCGGGTCCCGTATAAACTTAGTAAGCCCATACGAAGGTTAACAATTACTAACCTTGGATTGCAACACCTGAGGGGTTGCAGATGCATAAAAACGTGCACAAAACATGGACGATGAAGTTTTTCGCTGCTGCGGGAATCGAACCCACGTCTTCGAAAATCTCAACCACACCGACGAAAATCTCAACTTATTTAATCCACACAGTTTTTTTACATTTAAGTATTGCTTTGCGCATCTATTTTTATCTTCTTTAATTGGTTGCAGATGCATTTTAATAAAGTGATCCCTTTAACAAAGTTACCCCCAATTGCCACACGTGAAAGTTTTAAAAAGAACGTGTTTTTCGATTTAAAAAAGTATAATTTTTAAACTTCCGGCTGGTCTTCTATGAGGCCGTGGTCCCGTAAGAGCCTGCCCATTCGAACGATAGCCGAAGCTGTTGTGTGCTAAACGTCCAGAAAGCTCTAGCCGTTCATGCAGAAAAATGGTCCATAAAGACGGGCAGCTAGACATACGAAAAACAAATTGACACCATAAGGATTTAAGTTTTTACCGATTTAGGTACGGACCCCGACGTGCCAGTATTATTTTTAGAAAACTTACAAGTCAACTACGCGGGCTTAGATAGTAAACACCATAATAAGCCTTCAGACACGAGACCTATACAGATCTAGTACTCAGACCCACCCAGCGCACACACCGATCAACAAAACACAAACGCAGATACGGACCGTATGCCGACAGCCTAGAGGCGAAAAAGGCGTGGGGAATTCGAAAGTAAACGCGGCCGCTTGAGTTGTGCACAAACCGGACTCACCGTTCTCCCCACCAGGGCGACGGCGCGCGAACGTTCGCGGCGTGGTCCGGTCACTGCGCGGCGGGCCGCCATTCAAAGATGGCCGACGCGCGCGCGTCTCGTCCGTTTCCCGCGCTTTCTCGTTCTGCGCGTCCCCCGCGCCGTCCTTTCGGGACGTGAATTTAGAGTTGCCGCGCCTCGTGTATTTGCTGGTGGTGGTCTCGGCGGCGTCTATTGCCGCCGTGTTGCCGTCGGTGGTCACCGTCGGTGTCGTGGGCTTGGTGCGACGCACGAAGTTCGCCCTCGTGACCTGCAGGACGAACGAAGCGACCGGTTAGTTTGTTTTTGTCAATCGTTTCTATGTTGCGGGGAATGTGATAATCGCTTCGATGTTTGTGAGTTCCGAGACTATTTCGTGATGATATGTGCACAGACATATTTCAAATAATGCGAAAATTCTAGTTTGTGTTTCTATGTAACATTATAAGCATACTCGTATGTATTCATTAATATTTCAATATCATTCAATTTTATAACTGTGATTATAGGAATTGTAAACTAAAACTATATGTAGGTATAGTAATCTGTAAATAATTTTGTGACAAGTTCGACTGAAACCGTAAAGTAAATCTTATTTTTTTCAATATTTCATAAACTTTGAAACTACGAACAACATAATTATTACCACTGAAATAAATATTAAGTATCTAGTCTGCATTAGGAATCAATAATATAATCTGAGACGACCCAATTGACGTAGTTGATGTGACTCTATCTGTTGCGCCAGAGTTGGGTTCGATCCCCACTACTGCAAAGATATTGTGTGATGAACATAGTGATTTTTTATTGTCTGTGTTTATAAATCTATATTATGTATTTATTTACAAAAGAAAAGTGTGTTTATGTATGTGCCTGGTACCCATAGTACAAGCTTTGCTTAATTTGGGACTAGATAGCGTTGTAAAAAAATATGCGTCGAAAAATGTATTTATTTAACTAATATATAAATTCTATTCAGTCTGCGTTAGGAATGATAATATACATATAATCATATCGTTACGAAATTTAGACATCCGTGCAAAAATAGTGCTCTACTTATTGTATCGCGTTTGAATTTTAATACGTGCTACAAAAAGGTAGTAAAATATAAAATTGGGAAGTAAACCATGAAATGGAACGGAAAACGATACGAAATCCCGTATTTCTTTTTGATATTTCAATATTTTTTAACAGACAAGCTCTCACGTCTTCTAAGGCTGACAGTGTAGGCAGTGGTAACACTGCAGTATTCACATTTAACCGAGCGAATTTTTGTCCAAATCGTGATTTTGTCGTAAATAATTCGAAAAATGGAAAACTCGAGTCGTGATCTTAGATGCTTACTTAATTTTTTCATGATTTTCCTTTTTCTGCATTGCCATACTTTAGGATTATACATTATCCTGTATTGTAAAGAAGTTTTACTAAATTAATTGTCCGTGGGTCACACAAATAGTTGTTTCATAGTCAAATCAAACCCGCGACCCCCGGCGCCGAAGCCAATACCTTGGCAACTGAGTCACGAAGTCATCTAGTAATAATGGACTAAAAGTATCTATTATTTTTTAAGTTTATTATAATTTAAATGAACGTCTTCTACTGGTTATAAATTATATAAGTTATTGGATTGTTACAATTGTTCTGTGACATACATTAACAATCGAATGTGGTCAACTTATAGTGATACCAACACTCAGTAAGTTAGACCGTAGGTCTGCGGTTAGACTCTCGATAATACGACAGGTTTATTGAGAACTGTTTGGTTGTGATGAAATCAAATAGGTAATAAACGTACATAAAATTTTCTGTTCTTACATGTTTTTATTTTCTTACATATTCTTACATATTTCTTTATCTGTAAAACACTCGTAATACTCGAATATACGTATGTATCTATTAAATAAAGAATTGTCGGTTCGATCCTCACTACTGGAAAAATATTGTGTGATGAAAATAGTGTTTTTCTGGTATCTGGGTGTTTATATATGTATAATAGTTATTTACAAAAGAAAAGTATTTTTATCACTTATCTAGCACCCATGGTACAAGCGTTGCTTAGTTTAGGACTAGAGAACGTTGTGTAAAAATGTGTCCTAAAAATATTTATTTAAATAATTAACGTTTCTGAGATATTAAGATATATTTTGTTGACGACCTTTTATTTGTCTTACAAAAACATCAGCAATTATTATGTTTATATATTTATTGTTGTATATTGTGAAAAAGTTTGTAGCGTTCATTGTATGTCGTTAATGTCGTTACTTTGCGTACTTCAGATACCTAGTTTAATTGTTTGTTGGTTAAACACCAACAAAGGACTAAAAAAAATATCTTTATGATTATTTCAGTCTGTGCAATTCACACATTTTATTTGCCATAATAGCATATTATTATATTGTTATTACCTTCATAAAGATGATGTATTAAAATGAATAAAAAGTATTTTTCTGGTATATTTTTGAGAAGTTCTTGTGTCGTTATTTTGTCAAAACGTCTGTGTGCGTTTTTTTGCCGCGATTACTTAGCAATATGCTGAATTGCCAGTATCTATGTTAGTGTCGTAGATTGTGGCGTTCTTTAGGAGTTTTAAAAAGTATTTTAAAAGCTTGCAAGTTTTGGGAACTTTGCAGGTTTATAAAACCCTTTTACGGTTTTTATAGCGATGACTTTAGTTCTTCGCGGGACAAGTCTTTCTGTCTGTCTGTCGTGACAGGCAAAAAAGAAACGCGGTAAAATAGGTAAAATTGTATTCAGCAAACAATCAAAATATTCACGAAAATACAAGACATCATCATACGCTGTGCTCTATTTTTATCGCTAGAACATTCGGCGAATCCATTTGGACATGCATAAAACATTAAACGCAAAAAAGATGCGACGAATACTTTTGATTAATTAATTTTACGAAGTTGCTACTACGATTTGCATAATACTAATTACCATAGATGATTAAAGAGTCCATCTCAGTTTTAGCTGGGGCAAATTGCTTTCGTGAAAATTCAACTGATTCAATAGAAGACAGTTTGTTCAAAGAATTAATTTATTATTACGTGGCAAAGCATCTCCAACCTTACGGGTGTTGCAAATGTCCATGGGCGGCGGTTGTCACTTAACACAATGTGAACCGCCATCTCGCTTGCCACATAAAAAAACAACTTACTACCAGTGACATACAGTCAAGGGCATTACTTAAATCAGAACTCTTTTATAGTGCGCTCTTCACTAAGTCACATTTCGCTTTGCGCCGAAGGAAGTTGTAGAGAAACTAATTGGAGACACTTATGAAACGGGTTCCATTAAGACCGCTCCATTCTTACATTCACTTGAAAAAAAAAAAAAAAAATTAAATGTAAAAGTATCTTCAGAAGTTTGCAGAACTTCATTTCATTAAATGCGTAATTACCGGTGTAAGAAGTCTTTACTAAGACCAACATAAGCTTTGAGTGTCTATTAACAGCAAAACATTTCACTATCAAAAATATAATCGTAATATACTCAGTAATTTGCCATGAATAAATCTTAAAAAAATGAATATATAAGTAAGTTTTATAATAAATTTAATAATAAATGCTATTGGTTATAAAAGGTTTTTTGTCAGATTTTTTTGTGGAAAGTTAGCAAACTACCCATGGATAGATGTCCAAATCTTGCAGATACAACATAAGAAGCACTGCACTTGTGTTCTTGACATTCAAAGCACTGGGACTAATAAATAAACCTAGTTACCTTATTAACCAGATGTACTTATGTGTTACACTTTATGCCGAATTATTAATACCACAAAACAGAGAGGAATATTCAGATCGCGAAATTTTTTTTGGCTTTGCTAACGTAATGGTAACCTTCTGATAAAAACTATAATAATAAATTCTGGTAAAAATATATGAGGGTAATTTTACAGCGAAATAAAAGGTGACATCAACAACTCTTGTGCCTACTTTTCCTAACAATTTGCAAATGATGATATAAAGCGAGTCATGAGCATTTTAACTAACGTGGGTGGCAAATTACTTTGAATGTTGTTTTACTTAAAGTTAACGATGCCTTTTAAACCTCACCTACGTACTTGTTGTTTTCCATAGGATGATTGCGTCATTTAATAATTATTGTATCCTAAAACCGAACCATGTCCGAAACTAGTTATGATTACCTAAGTGTTAAACGTTCGCTAAAACGCACACGCTTTCGGATAAAATTGTTTTGTATTAAACATACTGCAAGCTTTGTTGTCATCGTTAGCTTCTGCATAAAATATAAATCGATGTAAGTGAAATTATTCACTCCAAATTGTTGATGCACATTTGATATCTAGTATTAATACAGACAAAGTATTCCGCAACCTTTGATGTAAGAACATTCCAAGAGCTTCTAAACGTGTAGATGATTGCTCTCGTATCCCTGAACTGGTGACTTCTTGCGTCCAGTTCGAGATATTTTTATGTTTCGCAATGTCCTGTTGGCCAACTCATCTGCTTTCGATTTTAGTAACGAAATGTTTCTCATAATGTTAACGGAGACTTCATCGCCGATGTGAATTTAGTAATACACATGTAGGAAAGAAGCTATAAAGATTATTGTGTTTACGCGTGAGTCAACACAATGGAAACTTTAAATACATTTGGTACTTAATGTAACGAACAAACTTCTTTTAATACGCATTTTGTGGGATCGTGAGTTGCGTAACAGTTACGCGACGCTGTTAGTTGCAGAACGATATACTACACAAATTAATCAAATTGTGAAATCTGTTTGGTTATTTGTTGTTGTTGTACATTTTCCTTAATAGATTTGTGACAAAATGCATTATACGGTTTATTCACGCGTATCTAGATAAAAAATTGGATGATATTTCATTTGTCAAATTGTGAAATTTTAATGCTTATGTTTATGTTTAGCCATATCATGCCTTGCATAACCTGTGCACTTAAATCTGAAAAGATATTTGGAATGTAGGATGCTATATTTCGTGCGTTAATGAGTGTAATCGCATTTAATTTGAGAGTTTTGATGTAGCTCTTTTGTCTTTGCATTTGTAGATCAAGATGCTTTTGTGTATAGGCACATGTCTTTACTTCACGACCTGACACTGAAATAAGATAAAGATTTTAGTTTAGCATCTAACGACTCTACTTATTTAAGTTTAACTCGTATCAATCTGTATAATGAGTAATCATATTCATAATGTGACGCGAAGGTGACATGTGATGGATAGTTAGAAGTTACAGCAGTTAGTATAGATGTTGTTTAGAAAAGCTGTGGTTATTTGACGTTTTGAAATAAATTATTGAAGGTAATCACTAGATTACTTAGGACCTTAAGGACTGACAAAAATAAATTACTCTAATATAAGTAACTTGTATTTTTCCAACTATGTTTTAAAAAATATATTCCATTATTTTATTTATATTCCTAAGGTTTACACATAAGGTTAGTCTAATAAGGTAAACATTATTTCCCAATTTAAATAAAATATACCAATAATAATCTATGAAATGTTTGTTGTTAGATTGTCTGTAACGATCAAAGAATGGAAAAGTTATTGGTCGTTAAAAGTCGTATAAAAACAGGCCATGGCGGTTTCTTTGTACTGTTTTGTTATTCAAAGCCAATTCAATATTTTCTTTGTACCTGAATCGTGTCCAATTAAAGGCCTTATCAAAATAAAAAGGTGTGCTTTCATGGATGTACTCTTGAATCGAATACATGACAAATAAAAAGGTATTAATTACTTTGAGACTCATTTCACAGTACAGTCCGTTTATTTACAGTAAAGTTATGAAACTACTTTACATACAAGCGTAGAAGACGTACACACATCATATAAAATATGATATACGATATTCACTTGGGTCCGCATATTTAGATGAAGAGATTAATATCGTTTGTTATCTTCTTTCTTATCATACATTTGTTGTATGTATAATTTTAACAACAAAAAAAAAAAACGATTATTAATACCGATAACATTTGAGGATTGGCCTCGATTTCTCTGGGATGCCATCATCAGATCCGGGTTTCCTTATCATGCTACTACCGTTGGGATATCGCCTTTCCAACAAAAAAAGAATCATCAAAATCGGTTCATAAACGATGTAGTTATCCGCGAACACACAAAAAAAAATGTATACGGTCGAATTGAGAAACCTCCTCCTTTTTGAAGTCGGTAAAAAGATGTCCCATTGGTGTGCGTCCGATTTAAAGCTCATCAATTCGGAATTTTCCACAAGCCCTAGTGTGTAGGAAAACAAGACGGTACATTGCAGGTCGCATCGGACCTGTTTTAGATACGATAAACAGAGAATAAATAGCCACTTCTTGATTTGCTGAATTCTCCGTCTGTAGAAGGTCGAACAATGTAACATACGTAAATTTATTGTTTTTGTCACACTTTGTTTTAAATGGACGTCACATTTTTTTTTACTTAATGTACAAAATAATGTACAAAAACGGATTTAGTGCCATCAGGAGATATAATGTCTTAGTCAAACTTAGGGTCGTCAAGAGAAGTTACAGTATTTTAGATTTGTATCTATGTCTGCATTCTCCTCTTACCTGATCTCTTTTGTTAGCAAAGAAGAATAAATTACGTATATCACTTAATTATTTTTGAAGGAAAATCTCTCTTCATTCGTTATATCTATTTATTATTATATTGTAATAAAAATGTATATACGCGCATAACTTCCGATCGTCTGCACCAAATTGGATTTTACATTTTTTTTTGTTTGTTATTATCAGGAGATGGTTTGTATATGCAATATTATTCGAAATTCCCGGGTGAAGCTGGATCGGGCATCTAGTCTTTATATATATATATATATATATATGTATAATTTTTCTGTGCGTGTGTATGTCACTGTACTCCGTCGCTCTTAACTCGTCGGACTTAAGTCGTGTGTACAGGACATCGTCTGTCGGGTCCGCTGGAAGTTACGTAATTACTTATATCTTAAGAAAGTTCAAAGCGTCGCTACGTTGATTAGCATGGACAAAATAAACAAGTTATTAAATAATCATAATAAATGAGCTAATCTCTCAGCTACGTTTGTAAACGGATGTAGAGGTAGGCTCTATATTTTGTTTAGTCCTAAGATAACACTAGAATTTTTCCTGGTTTCGAAACGAATATAAAAGTTTTTCTTCGTTTAGGTTTTATATCGCTGATATTATTTCGTTTGACTGTCTCTTTAAAAATTAAGTTAAGTTTAATATATTGTAAATGCGTCATAAATATGACACACGTTCGTCGAATAACAGTGTAAACATAGATAATTAAAGCGTTAATTTCACGGCTTTTATAATCTGTGCCGTCATGAAGGCGTTTGCTTATCTGTTGTTTGGCAATTGCACTCATTGTTTGACTTGCCGCAGGTGGGCGTTACGTTCAGTAATAATAATGTGTTACCGCGAG